GAACTCATTATACTTGACAAATTTAGTTAATATATTTTTCGAGATTCTTTATACTAAATTTCATAGAAATGAAGAGTATGACGAATAGACCGAATAGAATTTCCAATTCATCTTTGCAATAAAAAAAACATTCTAAACTTTTATTTACGAAAGACCTCTCGGAACATTGAAAACCGCGTTTTGTTGAAAAAGATCCATTAAATATATTCAATCATTGCTATTCACTAAAGATGAGACACAATTGCTAGAATTACAGGCAAGCAAGAATTCATTTTTCAAAAAAGGGTATTTCCCAGCGAATAGAATAAACTCTGTATTTTTTAGCAATGAAATACAGCCACGATTTTCTCAACAAACAAGAAGGACCGTTTTTCCCAAGAGCGAACAAAAAGGTTGCGGCGGACTCAGGAAACAAAAAGTTTCAGAGCTCGGAAAGAAGTTTTCCCGATGGAGATACGCCACTCCCGCCTTCATTTGTAATTAATCTTAATTGTAAAATTCTCATTAGTATTTAAATTTATACAGATAATCCTTAAACTGTTCTAGGAAAACATACTTCCAAATGCCAGCTCCATCTCACCCACGAAGATTAATAGTAATTTTGAGGCGGAAGATCTCGAGCTGTGCATGCTTTCAATTGTGTGTAAATAACACAAGACATTTCTCTGCGATCTGGAGACGAAGACGTTCCGCTTAACGCACTTCCTTGTACCTCTGCCGTGACTTTCTCTTGTTGTGGTCACGCTTCCATTTAGACGTGACCACGAGTAGTGGCAGCCTGCGCATGCTTGTAAGTATGCAGTTTTCGACACACATACAACTACACTTTTAATACATTTTCGGCAGGCGTCTCCAGTAGTTTCCGTGTTCCCAAGTATGATACTCTAGGAAAATATGAAATTTCAGTGTAACTGGATCAATCAATTAGTAAATCCTTTAGTTTCATCTGATATTGAAGACGGTAAAAAGAACTAGCAGACAGAAAAGAACTAGAATATAAAAAAAACTAGAATTTGGTTCGTGATCTGAACCTAGTTGAATCGACGTTAATGAAGACTGATAACGATGCGAGGAATTGAAATTAATAAGAGCGTAAGAAGATAGGCTGCATGCGCGTACAGTACAGAGCCCGTACGTGAACGCTAGTCACGCTTACAACTGCCAGTTAAAAATACGTTGTTAGCCTCGTTTCGGAATTAGTGCTGTAGGTTAATGGATTATGTGACAGTCGTTAGTTCTGCAGTGCTAAATGTTAAATTCTGCGTTGCAAAATGCTAGATTCAGCATTGCTAAATGTTCGGTGCTAAACAGGCGCAACATCGAATGTTTCCTTTAAATAATGCAAGCTTTATCTTTATTTTATTTATTATTATTTATTTATTTTTTTTTATCTTTAATAGTTAATAAAAATAGGACCAAAATATACGACTCCGTAAAATACGCATCAGTATTCTTTTCATTAAATTTTAATAAAACTTTCTTGTGCGGCTAGACGAACGCAATTTAGCGCTGCACGTTAGTCATTCCACGGACAGTAAATATCAAAACACGGCATAAAAACTCAATAAGATATAAGGGTGAAAAAAATTCGTAAAGGTCTCGTTCGCTGATACCTGCAAAACTACCCAGTTACCTCAAATATTGTAAAATCACATGTTTACAGAGGATTTTCTGAGACTGGTGCTCATAGTTTTCTTTTGTTCAGATTTGTATAGTCTGTAAAGAACTGAGTCTGTTTTTCTGCTGCCAGCATTTTGTCGCCTCAACTGCATCGCAACAGCATTGGATACAATGCGTGGGGTGCACTTGTTTATAATTACACGAATAAGTGATGCGTGGGGTAAAGTTCTTTATTGTAACACGAACAAGTGATGCGTAGGATGCACTTATTTATTATAACACGAGCAATTAAGTAATGCGTGGGGTGCACTTGTTTATTATAGCACGAACAAGTAATGCGTGGGGTGCATTTCTTTATTATAACACGAACAAGTAATGCGTGGGGTGCACTTATTTATTATAACACGAATAAGTCCTGCGTGGGGTGCACTTGTTTATTATAACACGAACAAGTAATGTGTGGGGTGCACTTCTTTATTATAACACGAACGAGGGATTCGTGGGACTCATGCGCAATCCTCGCACGAATTACACTAACAAGGCTTCATGCGTACATCAGATCTCACGCATGTACGAGTAGTGGGAGCGCGCGCGGGAAAAAGTCGGTCGTGACATAAGATTTATACAAAGAAGGTGATGGGAATTAATCATTTAATCATAGGTTAACGTGTAAATAGCGATTTTCGTATTGTTCATTATCCAATGATTTATACCCTGGAACTCATGAGCTTATTTATCAAACAACCCATTTAGTTAGGATGGTGTCGTGAATATCACTGAATATCTGTCGTGAATATCACTGAATATCTGCAAATAAGAGCTTATTTAATAGGCCAGATATTGGCCGCCAGTACAGCGTCATGATTTTCAGTTGTGTTCCAGCCCTGACAGCTCGCCCGCTGCCACCGCCGCAAAGGCTGCAGTAACGCGACACATTCGCCATTCTTTGCCGGCCGTCGGAAGGCTGTGAAGTTTGCCATTGTATGCCGGCCGTCGGAAGGCTGTGAAGTTTGCCATTGTATGCCGGCCGTCGGAGGCTGCGAAGTTTGCCATTGTATGCCGGCCGTCAGAAGGAAGGCTGCGAAGTTTGCCATTGTATGCCGGCCGTCAGAAGTAAGGCTGCGAAGTTTGCCATTGTATGCCGGCCGTCAGAAGTAAGGCTGCGAAGTTTGCCATTGTATGCCGGCCGTCGGAAGGAAGGCTGCGAAGTTTGCCATTGTATGCCGGCCGTCAGAAGGAAGGCTGCGAAGTTTGCCATTGTATGCCGGCCGTCAGAAGGAAGGCTGCGAAGTTTGCCATTGTATGCCGGCCGTCGGAAGGAAGGCTGCGAAGTTTGCCATTGTATGCCGGCCGTCGGAAGGAAGGCTGCGAAGTTTGCTTGCCATTGTATGCCGGCCGTCGGAAGGCTGCGAAGTTTGCCATTGTATTAGTATTGTATGTAAAGGACAGAAATTTAATAGAGAATGTTCAAAGACGTGCAACAAGATTAATTCCAGGCTTGAAGGGCAAGTCCTATGAAGAAAGATTTGAGATTATGAAGCTTCCAAGTCTCAGTTATCGACGTTTGCGTGGGGACCTCATTGAAGCATACAAGTATACTTATGGTTCATACTAGGTCCCCGAAGGATTACTAGAATTTGAAACAAGAACCAACACCAGGGGCCACGGCTATAAACTAAAAAAACTGCGCTGCAACTTCTCCACGCAACAAAATTTCTTCTCGCTTCGAATCACCGACATGTGGTACATCCTCCCCGATGACATCGTTTGCGCTCCAAGTATGAACGCGTACAAGAACTGACTAGATAAATCTATGGAAAAATATATGTTCAGATTTGAAATGCCTAGCACCATATCGAAACCGGTGGAAGTCTAGAAGCTACTTCAAACTATCGTCAGTCGTGAAAAGATCTGGTAAATGACACAGTTTTAGATCTTCTGTGAACAAGTCACGAAAAGGAAAAGAATCGGCGACAGGCCACATCAGGCCTACGCTTCAGGGCCGAGATCACTATGTTATGTAATATATGCTGGCCGTCAGAAGGAAGGCTGCGATTGGAATACACGTACAAGCTACAATCGTGGAAAGTACTGTTGTTGCAGTAATGACATTTACAAGAGAAGTAACGGCGGAAGTAGGCGTGAGAATGATGCGATGAAAGGCAGGGTTGCAAACATTGCTGTTATCATCTTCCTCATTGAAAGCTCAATGATAATAGTCATAGTTTGAGAGATCACAGAAATTGTTTTCGTGTTGATAGCAATCGTGGTTACCGCAGTCAAAGTAATTAATTTAATATTAATAGCAGTAACGCTATGTGCAGTTAAAATAATTGCAGTTAAAGTGTTAGCATAAATAATGTCTGCATGCAGTTGCAGTGTCATATTATTGGAGTAAATGCAGTTGAAATTAATCTAAGTATTAATAATTTAGGAAATGCTAGTTAAGACGCAAGTGGTCATAATAATAAAATTCGCACTATTCATAGTCATAACATGTGCAATCCTATATATAAGAACAAGTGCAAAGGTCCGTGTGACCATATACAAATGCTTGCAGACTACAGGTCAAGCTTGTAGCAGTATTTTTCACGTCAGGCTTATAGCATCGAACGCACGTTTCTCTAATGTACGTATAAGTTATTTTCGTATATAAATTCTTGCAATCCAGCTTGAAAGAAAGACCAGTTGGGGTCGAGTCCAATTAATATTATCTATAGAAACTGGAACTCGTGAACTGATTCTGGACACGCCCAACATTCCTAATGTTCCCTCATGTGTGAGGTCACGTTCTTCCGATGTGAGGTGGTCCGTTAGTGGGTAATTTAAGTAACACACCTGGGACTATGGGTAACTATTTTATTGTTATTCCGGGTAACGTATTTGTTACCCAGGAAAACAGTGAGTGATACCACTACAAAAGTTTGTGGAAAAAATATATAAGTGTTACCGGTTGCCTATCTTATTTATATTTTTTAAGTTTCGAATTTACAGGTGCTCAATAATAAGCGATCAAAAAAATAAGCCCTGCTAATGTGACTAGTTTTAGTGGTGAACTTCTTTTGGTAATTTTCCTCGTATATTCAAACAGTGGACCGAAATCGAAGTGTTGAGTTATGCTGTGAAGACTTATTTCATGTTGTGATACTTGAAAAGTTTGGAATTTAACTTCACAATACACGAATTTACATCGCTAAAAAACAGAAATAAAGAATATTTTGGAGTTTCTATGAATTTTGAAAGCCCACCTATTTTGGTTCCCGTAAGTGTCCGAGTGGCAGTGCAGTGAACTGCTCCAGTTGCCACTCGCCCGTGTGGCTGCTCCAGTTGCCACGCGCCCGTGTGGCTGCTCTAGTTGCCACGCGCCCGTGTGGTTGCTCCAGTTGCCACGCGCTCGTGTGGCTGCTCCAGTTGCCACGCGCCCGTGTGGCTGCTCCAGTTGCCACGCGCCCGTGTGGCTGCTCCAGTTGCCACGCGCCCGTGTGGCTGCTCCAGTTGCCACGCGCCCGTGGCGAATATCACTCGGAGTTTCGCCGCTCGGTCACGGCCACACATGGCCGGCGCGCTGCTGCTGGTGGCGCTGCTGCTGAGGGCTGCGGCCGCGGCTCAAGGTGAGACCTCGTCCAATTAATGCCTGGAATTTATAAAAAGCGACATGATTTTCTCATATGCTTTTTTGGGGATTTATTTAAAGAATTTTGTGCGAGGGAATGTATGATATTAATGCAATGCCATACAATTTGAGTGATTTAATTGCAGAACATTGTTGAGAGGTAATTATTACTATTATTATTATTATTATTATTATTATTATTATTATTATTATTGTTATTATTGTTATTATTTTTATCATTATCAATATTATTATTATAATATGACTTCTTTATTTGAAATAAAAATTCTGAAATACATATCAATTTACTTTGTTGTACGTCACTTTTTTAATTATACTTTCAACTGAACAACTGAACAATTGAAGAATTAACTTTACGTTTCCATCAAAATTGTGTGTGATCCATAATACCGCAAACAATCGCACAATTTATGATTCCGACACAATAATAATGTAGTGTCCCGCGAACGCATTGAAAAAAAATCATATAAATGCGGCAGTTTTAAGTGACATTTCCTCATGGCATGAGAAACTGCGGAAAATATTTCCCTCGCTCTTTATAGCTTCCCTCACGAGGCCTTGAGGGCCTCAGCGCCCTGCCCTGCCGTGGGCCCCCGCCATGTGACTTAATAGCGATACAATGGTTTTATTGTTTATTATTATAATATTATTATCATAAATAATTTATATTATTAATAATAACTCCCAATTAGGAGTTATTATGGTGCTGATCAAGAGTTATTAATAATTTCTAATTATTATACCTAATTCTTTGTTTACATCTGATCTTTAATTATTATGATTCATTGGTCCTGTGGATATTGGTCAGATATTGTTTTAGGAGTGAAATTATATAATCTTGGCACGCACAGCGTTCAGCCACCAGCACAGCACTCATACCATCATACATGTACGAATTCGTGCAGCTTAGCGGGTTTGTACGGCACATCAGCGCAATCATAATGTTGATCAACGTTATTTATTTCCCTCTGCTAATTTTTGTACTGATTCTATTTCAAGAATTTCTAATACCTATCATTCATTCACTTGCAGACATTTAAAAGTTTTCATTGTGCTTGGATATACATGTTAAAAAATTTCATCCAGAATATTCATAATCAAGATTTTGTCATTTTAATTGCATTTTTGCATTTATTAGATACGAAGAAATAATCTAATGACGCTGGCTCAATTTTGCTCTTTAAATTCAAGTTCTCTGCTTGTCTGAATATCAAGGTAGACAAAATAATATCATGGTAGACAAAACGCTTACTAAAAATAATCCAAATAATCATCTTCTTGAGAGGACGAATGCCCGCACATAACACGGCGATAATTTTCTAGTGGGATTCCAAGCGTAAGCGACGAACAAGCGTAGCTACAGCAGCGTAACTTTCACGACCGCGGCAACGTTCCGCACGAACTTGCAAGGCTGCACGAATTCGTACACATATACGCGCCTATGACCTCGTGCGCACATATGTGCGTTAATGTTCTTTAAGAATCGAAAAAATAAAGATTTTCAGATTTAAAGAAGGCTGGATCTTATTAATAATGATATGGTCGAACTCTCTTTGATATGTTCGAACTCTCATGATGCTTCATCATACAAAGTGTAGCAGTTCTGAACGCTGCATGTGAACCTGTACGAACTTTGCACGTTCATCGCATTCCAAATAATGCGCTCGTATGAAGACATACGCATTTTTGGCGCATGTTTGGTGACACAAACGTGCTGAGTACAGTGCGTCCATTGTTATGCAGCAGAAACTTGCTGTCAGTGAGCACATACAGCGTTCAGTGAGCACATGCAGCGTTCAGTGAGCACACACAGCGTTCAGTGAGCACGCACAGCGGTCAGTGAGCACGCACAGCGTTCAGTGAGCACGCACAGCGTTCAGTGAGCACGCACAGCGTTTAGTGAGCACACACAGCGTTCAGTGAGCACGCACAGCGTTCAGTGAGCACGCACAGCGTTCAGTGAGCACACACAGCGTTCAGTGAGCACGCACAGCGTTCAGTGAGCACAGTGGTGCAGTGGTGCAGTGGTGCAGTGGTGCTGTGGTGCAGTGGTGCAGTAGTGCAGTAGTGCGGTGGTGCGGTGACGTGTGTTGGGCGCTGCTCATGTCTTGCTCATACAGGCACTCCTGTGTGGGCACTCCGCACCCACACAGCTCGCATGCTGTGTGGCATTTCTGTGTGGGGCCAAATGGGAGTGGAGTATACCCACAGATTGTGTGTTGTCACGAACATTTATACCATATGCATATGAATCTCACCTCTATTTTTTATACGAGTTTAAACACCTAAATTTTTTCTGCTATTATTAAATGTAAAGGTCTGGCTTACATGCCAACAAGATAAATATCTTGAACTCGCATCCTTATAGATTTGTGATGCCAGGCTTCAATCTTACAAACAGCCACAACCGCTTTTACAAATATACATACATAATACATAGGATTAAAACGTACAAATATCTAACATTTATATTGGAGCTTGATAGTTTTCGTGTGACTGAACCCTGAAAAATGATGCTTATATTTAATTTAAGTTAGCATCATTAACGCATAAAATAGTCACAGAAAATATTGCTCTCATCTCAGGGAAATCATCGAAATGGTTATTTGCCAGCTCCAATTTCAATACAATTATCAGCCGCTCATTTTAAAGTCATCATCGAAACAAAACTCGTGCGCAGAATCACTGTAATTTTTAATTAAATCTCACAGAAATACTAAATGTAAAGCCATTTTTTCGCTTTCTCGTTTGGTTTAGCTGTTACAATTACCAAGAATGTCGTACGTGTTTCTTCTTCCAACATGCATTTCAAAATTGGTGGCCCTCATAATTCGCTTCCAGCATACGTGTTTAAAACTATCCACTTAGTATATTCTCTAAAATTTATTCCATAATGTAAGATTGTTCTTATAATCTCAGTCTCTAATTTTCTCCGCCGTTTCTTGCTCATTGTTTCCACTTCCGTGTCGTTACCCTCCCGTCTCTGCTCATCTCTCTTCTCACGCCGCTATATACTTTCGTCCCCTGATTTTTCCTATTTTCTTACGTTTTCTCTTTGCGTGTTTGTTTTTGCTCCCGCCAAACTGCCTATAATTGCCAACTTCGATACGGCGATGACTAGACGCAGTTTAATATCCTTGCCAAGAGAGGCGGTAGCGCCAGGCATACCCTGCATCTGCAAATAAAGGGTTATATAATTACCTTGATACGAGGGTATTCGCCTCGGTTATAGTGCGAAAAGTAACAAGATTCCGCATCGTTGAGTTATAGTTACAGCAGTGAAAAAACTACGAGTATGTTGATACAGATAACGCACAAATTCCATATATTATCCACCGCTGAGCCTGATATGCCGCTAAAATTAGGGCCTGATATGCCCCTAATTAATCCCTAATTAGGCAACAAATCTTATTAATTAATCACTTATTAAGCAACCAATCATTTAACTCGACCACTCGAGCCTTTGTTACCATACCACTTATACCTGAATTTCAACACGTTGCAGCAACGAGATCGAGTTAATCTTGGTATGTTCGTGTGACCTAGAACGCCCTAACGTTCCTTCGTTACGCCCCGCATGTCGGGTTTCGCGTGAGACGAAGAGTCAGGTTCACGTCGAGGTTATCGTGGTTTTCGTCTCACGGAAGAAGTCGTCTCGGTGCTCTGGTCGCATGACTTGCTCGACTTGCAACTTAGCTGGGATCACGGCATGGATGCCAGACGAAAATATATCAACGACAGAAATGGTTTTCACTGAATTTTTGTCGCATGGAGTACAATATATCAATGTAAATACATTTGATTAATTTCTGCATGGTTGTTATGAGAAAATGTCATCAAAGTTGAATGTGTATAAAAATGTAATATAACATGTATTCACATGTGAGTCAAAGTTCCACAGTTTGACTTTTGGATCAATTAACAGGATATGCTCAGATCGGGTACATGCCACTGAACCGCATGGTACGTGTATTGAATGAATCATTAAATAGAGCGCACGATAATTACAATTTGATGATTAAAGTGACATACATATGATCTTCAGCCATTGTTATGCAATATGGTTGCTAGAGCAAGCTTTCCGTTGAGTTGCGTCATGTACCGTACAGGCGACTGCGCGGGATCTGTAGCATGTTACTCGTGCATGATTGGCATAATCGATGACCTCGTAGCATGAATGGCATGATCAATGGACCTCGTAGCATGAATGGCATGATCAATGACCTCGTAGCATGAATGGCATGATCGATGACCTCGTAGCATGAATGGCATGATCGATGGACCTCGTAGCATGAATGGCATGATCGATGGACCTCGTAGCATGAATGGCATGATCAATGGACCTCGTAGCATGAATGGCATGATCAATGGACCTCGTAGCATGAATGGCATGATCAATGGACCCCGTAGCATGAATGGCATGATCAATGGACCCTGTAGCATGCGAGCTCTACTATATAAGCGCTGTTGGCATCAAGGTTAGCGAGTTCCCGCAGCTGTTGAGGGCAAACCAGCTAGCCGTGAAGCTAGCACTCGACTGTCGTGTGAAATTTCCTATGCTAGAATTGAACTTTTGCTTCAAATGTGTTTGTGATCATTATTTACTGCACAACTTTTTGCGGGCACCATTTACTTGTCAACTGTTAGTAATTTCAATTTCATTCTATATTTGCTCCTGCAAATCGTAATGAAGTTGGTTCGTGTAACATTGTGTTATAAAACATTTCCCCTACGTACAATTCAGTAATGTATGGCTCTATTTTTGTTCATTGATAGGTGTCATGGAATCTATATAATGACGATCGAGATTTATAATCCAGTCTATGAGTTTTAAATTTCAATGCGAGATGCATCGATAGTTGGAATAATTAAATATTCCAATATTATATCTGATTTAGTAAGAATGCGACTACTGATGGTAACGCAAATGTAGCGTTTATGCAAAAAATCAAAATTATTTTAAATTTCTTCTGTAAAATTTCGTATTATGCGAAGGCAGTGTAGGTCAACAGGAGACAACAATCTTGGCAACAATTAAAATCCGATCATTTTCTATTTATCTGTCCACATTCAATTCCCTTTTCGTAGACCATTCATTAATTAGACCCCCTTAAGATTATTCATTGCGATATAGAGAGGGGATCGCGAGCATACAAATCATACATACTTACCTTCCCATACGCACATACACACACACACTCATATAAACACACGCACGAATAAACAGACATACATACACACATCATTGTTCAGATTGTTCATTGAGAAGCCAGCACGCGTGACCTCATTGAACGAGTGCCGCGACCTCGCAGCTACCAAAACTGCTGACCGCTGGACACGTGTAGAGCGTTCAATGCGTGGCCTGGTACTGTACAAACACTTGCTTGCATGAGACATTAAAAATAAAAGAAAAAATAAAACACAAATCCTTGCAAATTCACAATTCGCTGGCCTTTTCTTTGCCTTCAAATTTTTTGTGAACTTGCGAAATAAGTGGACTAATAATAGAGATATGATGGCATTAGTAGTAAAGACGACATTAACTGTAGCCGCAGTGTGTTTATCACTTTTAGTCTCTATTTCCGTCAATGTTGAGTTCACTTGTCGCCGGATGTTAAATACTTGTGCGAATTTTCTTTCTTCATTTGATATACCGCAAACGGTTTCTGAAAGCAAATGAACTATTAGAAAATATGCGAAACAAGGGATGTTGAAGCAAATCTACATAGTCAGACAATATTTCACTGGAAATATTAAAAAAACATAACTCAGTACTCACAGCAGTGAGTGACAGAGAGCGCATTTTCTCGTCGACGAAAACTTGAGGTCGCGGACGGACGGGCAGACGGACAGACAGACAGACAGACGGACATGGCGAGCACAATAGTGCATTTTTTCCATAAATGAGAAAATGCGCTAAAAAGGCAGTAGTCCCTCACCAAACTGTGCTGGCACCGTGCAGTCACACTAGACGGAATCCAATCACAATTTTTTATGGTTATTCTAAGATTTCGAGTATGAATAAATCACACCTCCCAACTAGAGCACAACTTGATTTCTGTCAGGGTCTTTGTATCATCTTGTCACTTCTTGTTTCACTTTAATTTTAGGTGCTACTTTTAACAACCGGTGATGTTGCGCGGAAGAGACAAACACAGCGTGCAGTATTTCGATCCACCAACCTTGCCTACTTCTGCACAGAAAAATTTCCAGCAATTATTACTAAACATGAGCTTGCAAGAATGCTACGGTTGTAAATAATATTTTCGTTCTACTTCCATGAGTGCAATAAGCGTCATGGCTATTATATGATTTGAAAGCAAGAACGCTAATAAGAAAATACGATAGCAACCATGCATGAAATCGGACAGCAAACCTTAATGTACCCTTAGCACATTTTGATGGTTGGATCAACCATTTTTATTATATTATTATTATTATTTGTGAACAAATACCATTTAAGCTGTTCACAATCAATACAGATATTTATAAACACATATACAATATATATAGTTAAAAAATCATTTACAGTTGAACCGATTTTATGATCAATTGCTATTTTTGTCGGTTTATGTTTATGAAAGTTCATATTGAGTAAGAAAAACTGGACTGAACTCCTCGTATGTGCAGGCGAGAGCGCGCGAGGCAAGGCAGCTCGATAGTTTCTAAAATTTCTCTAGCGTCTCCCGGACGCGCGGCGCCCAACGAAACTTTTTATAGGCGCGCCCAAGGAAGTTGCGTGGTAGCATAGATAATAATGCACGCTTTCCATTCATTTTTATATTACATCTTTTTTATCATGGAAAATTAGTTTTATTTTGATTATGATTAAACTGTTCTATCGCTCCTGTAATTTAATGGCACGAACTTTCTTTCTTTTTATTTCTTTTATAAAGAATTTAGTTATGAATCCCAATGAATATACTGCAATCATCAAGATTATTTTGCCTTTTAGTTTCTGCTCAAATTTTATACCCTGCATCGTTAATTTTTTTGTGTTATTAGCATCACGGACCCTCTCAGAGAAATAAGTTAGATATTGTCTAAGTTGCGATGCGATTGTTGTGATGTTGTGAGTCATCCTGACCCATGTTATCTCGGCTAAATGGAGTATCAGTGCTACGTCTGCTCTCTTCTGGTGCCGTGGTTAAGAAAGTGTGTCATCATTTTTAGGATATGACCCTCTCAATTTTTTTGAGTACTCGTGCCTCCCAACTTATTGGGCCAGGGCTAGACCCGCTAGAGGATTTCAGGTTCTTGCTCTCATACTCTCTTTCTCTCTCTCTTTCACTCCCTCTCTCTCTCTCATTCCCTCTCTCTTACTCTCTCATTCTCTTTTTCACACACACACACTCTCTCTCATTCTCTTTCTCCCATACTCTCTTTCACACGCAATCTCTCTCTCTCTCATTCTCTCTTTCACACACACTCTCTCATTCTCTTTTTCACACTCTCTCGCTCTCTCATATTCTCTTTCACTCTCTCTCTCTCTTACATTCCCACTTCCACTCCCCCTCTCTCTCTCATTCCCTCTTTCACTCTCTAGTTTGCTCGCTTTATCTCGTACGAAGAGAAAGTTAGCCAAACATCGCCCCACATTTACAACCTCCGGGTACTGGAGATCATGTTTCCGGAATTAAAGGATGCAAGAAATATGAAATTTCTGTCCTAATATTGCGGCGGCTTGCACCGCGGTCCTGGATATTGTTCTTTAATATTCTATAAATCCTGTTCAGATTTGTTCTTAATTTATTTTACTTCTTTCATATTCAAGTATTCAAGTCCATTTACGTTTCCGCATTAATTATTAAGAGCTCATTCATTTACATTGTTCTGACTTTTTTACTCTATTAACTCAGATAAACTTATTAGCATTTATCCATTTTATTGATAAACCTTCTTGGTTTTCTTTTAATCCTCCGCCATAAAGTCAGTAACTTAATTAATGTAACTTAATTCTGCATTAATTATTTGGAACTTGAGATCATTTCATCGTCAGAACACATCTGCCGTCCCACGAGAAGCATTCATCGCGATTTATGTCCAAACGTTGATCTATTGATCAATGATGAATAAATACCAATTAATATGGATTTTGTTGAATACACTCGTATCATAAAAATATTTAATATATTAAATGCTCAACATTACATTTACTTATTTTATTTGTCGTATAATCACACTCGTATGTTAATTGCTGTTATTTATGGAAATTGCTGTTATAATAATAAAATTGCTGTTACTTATGATAATTGCTCTTATTCAAGAAAATTGCTGTTATTTATGAAATAAATTCATCAGGCCCGGAAGTTGTGTGCGGGCAACCAGGCCGCCCCATCAACGGGACGGTGTCTGGGGACCAGCCCGGGGACGCGTTGGGCTTCCCCTTAGGGGGCTACCCTGCGGGGGCGCAGGTCAGCTACGCCTGCGTCGAGGGCTTCGTCCTCTTCGGGGACCTGCAGAGAACCTGCCTTGTGAACGGGTCCTGGAGTGGGGAGGTCCCTCTCTGTGGTGAGTGGGGGGTGGAGGAGGTCCCTCTCTGTGGTGAGTGGGGGGTGGAGGAGGTCCTTCTCTGGGGTGAGTGGGGGGTGGAGGAGGTCCCTCTCTGTGGTGAGTGGGGAGTGGGGGAGGTCCCTCTCTGGGGTGAGTGGGGGTGGAGGTTCATCTCTGTAGGGGGGAGGGGAAGGTCCCTCTCTGTGGTGAGTGGGGGGAGGGGAAGGTCCCTCTCTGTGGTGAGTGGGGGTGAAATAAGATGAATAGTTGTAAACTCTTCACAGAGCATAAAAAAATGACTAATTGTGATTAATGCATAACCTGTAATTAAACTGATTACACCGAGTAAAGGAGTATGTCTAAAATCCATTGTCGCGAGCACAAGAAAAAACTCATTATAATACCTGTGGTATACCTTTGAGGTATAGAATAAAGTTTTAATAACATTAATACCTTGTGGAAAACTTCTAACACTCAGGGGCAATTGTTCTCAACTGAACACAGAACTGAACAATTTGAACTGAACTGAACACTGAACTGGACAATCTGAAGTCACAGATATGTTCCTCCAGGTCCTTATAGGCTTACTCATGAAGAGGAGCTTAAGCAATGTAAAGAATAAGGAATAATTGCGGGGGCGAAATACTCTTCAAAACACACGGAAGTCGTAACGCTGCTGAGTTACTGAGCAATAAAGCTTGTACACGCTGAAACAATGCGGTGTTAATAGCGGTAAAAGCTCAGCGAATGTAGTGGAATCGAGACACTGTTGATTTACCGATCACTATACAGTCAGTAAAATTATTTATCGCAGTAATTGCGAGGCAATATGAAGGCAGACAGATGATTTATTCGTAAATCAGTCAAGCAGTTCGATTCACTTTCCCCCGATCTCATTGCTGGATGCGCCGTCCATATGTCGGTAAGTCTTCTGATGATCACGACTCGTCTGAGGCTCAAGAATTTTCTCGTGAATTCTTTGAAAGTTCCAACGTTTGATGCAAAGTGCGTTTCTCGCAATCATTTTCGTAGAAACCTTTCACCTGTGTTATACTCTTTCTTTATGTGAGATTTATTGCGGTATCGGTCTTTCGGTCGGAAGTTTTAGCTACAATAAAGCTTATTATGTAGTTGTCACCTATTATTTCAGGCACTGATATTATTCATTGTTTCATTTCAACCCACAGATTTCGTTATCAATTATTTTATACTTGTATATCTCACCCTCGTACCACGCACTCCGTTCCACGTGCAAAAATATTTATTCGCCTCACACTGATTCTCTTCCTTACTTACCACCGTTTCATCAGTTCAGTTATTTCTCTCCAGCTGTTCATTTTATCGTCTCACGTCAGTATCATTCAAAATTTTAAGGTTTACTTCCTCAACTTTCAAAGTTTTGAGCCTTTAAATCTTGATTTAAAACAGTATCAGTGCCGTATTTTTCACCGTCTAAATGTACATTTTGCGTCACAAAATAAACATATTTCCTATCACACTGAAACATGCGTGTTTCCTGTCGCTGACTGCGTATTTCTCATCGTGTCACGGGACACATGTTTTCGTGAAGTGTCATGGCGCTAGTTTTTCAGAAGCGAAAGGGAAGCGAAAGCTAACGACTTATTGTCGTTAGTGCCAACAGAATTGTTCCGACAATTGCCACATCAACAAAATCTCGTGTCTAAACGACAGAAAAGTTGTACGACAGTCCAACGTAAACATCTTAATTGTGTCTACAAGCCTCCCGATCATGTCATTACGATGTATAATCGGCGTGTTGACTGAGTCCACTCATGTGGTTTGCTGTTCAGATTATCTTGCTTACAAATGATTATCAAAATTGAACTGCGTCAAGTTTTTTCTTTTTAGTCGTATCCTGCTTCTTCGAGGCCAATTTTAGCACCCATGAGATATGCTTGTTCACTTCTAAAAATTTTTGATTGAATATTTTTATTAAAGGCTCAGCAAGTTAAACTATTTAAAATGAATACATTGTTTACAATTGGCGTACTAGGAATGACCAATGTCTTATTGTAAACAAATCTTAATGGATATCTTATTTAGCGTTAATATTACCTCAATATAGCTTGTGTACCCTGGAAAACTTTAGGCGAGTTCATCGAATTAAATTGCCCTATACAAATTCACGATGTATTGATTGAATTAGGAGCAGTTATAAGTATGTACGACTGATGAAAGCCGTTATGATGTATTGAGATAATCACCGTTGGATGACGGAGGAGGAAACCGCCATTATTTGAGATTGAATGAAGAGGAGCATTGATAGGGCCTACATTCTTTACTTCACCAATCACATAAATAGCACCTAATTTGTGAACCATACGCATGCCTTTTCCCTTTAAATGACAATATTTTTTTAATTTTTATATGCATCCATGAACTGACCGAACAGATTTTTTAAAAATTTTCCTAGCATTCACACGCTTCAAAAAAAATGCGAATTGAAGCCCAAAAATTAATTAAAATAAATTGAAAATCCTCTGATGCCCTCATTTATATAAGTTGTCACATTTGTTCATTTGTTGCAAGATTTTTTCATCAGCCGTAACATTTCTTCATTTGTTGCCAGATTCTTTCATCATTCTTAACATTTGTTCATTTGTTGCCAGATTCTTCCATCAGTTATAACCTTTGTTGCCAGATTTATTTATCAGTTATGGAACTTTAATTTCGTCTCCGGCATGTAAATGTTAGCCCAAGCAAAATCCGTTCGCTCGACTTGAGACGTACGGGACCGTACATGGATTAACCTCTCTTAATTACCTCTTCGCTTGAATTCAAAGATGATCTTTTAAACACTCAGCGGGAAGTTCCATAAAACGCTAGGGAATTAATTCGTGCTGTTGCACATTTTAAATAATAGGGATTTCGAATACATTGTATTTTCCAACATAATTTTGGATATTTTATAATTTACATAAAACTATGCGCATTATACATATTGCGATTGAAATAAATCTACGTACTGTTGTATGACGTAATATTTAATAAAGTTTATATGAACAATACACACAATGCTCGGGCAGACTTCAACGTGGGTGCGGGCAAGCGCAGCCTGCAGTCCGGGACGTTGTGGTCCTACAGCCCCGGTCTGGCTGTGGACGGGTCCCCTGACACCTGCTCCTTCACCCCCCGCGGTCCTGACCCCCGTTGGTGGCAGGTCCATCTCGGGCACAAGTTCAACGTCATCAGAGTGGCTGTCACCATCAGTCCTGGTAACTGTCACTATCATTCCTGGTAACTGTTACTATCAGTCCTGATAATTGTTACTATCAGTGCTGATAACTGTTGCCTTCAAGTGACCATAAGTCCTGGTAACTGTTATTATCAGTCCTGGTAACTGTTACTATCAGTCCTGATAACTGTTATTATCAGTCCTGGTAACTGTCACTATCAGTCTTGATAACTGTTACTATCAGTGCTGGTAACTGTTACTATCAGTCTTGATAACTGTTACTATCAGTGCTGGTAACTGTTACAATCAGTTTTGCAAACTATTACTATCAGTGCTGGTAACTGTTACTATCAGTGCTGGTAACTGTTACTATCAGTGCTGGTAACTGTTACTATCAGTCCTGGTAACTGTTACTATCATTCCTGAGTCTCCTGCTAACTGTTACTATCAATCCTGGTAACTGCTACTATCAGCCCTGCGGTAACTGTTGCCTTCATGCGATCGTCAATCCTGGTAACCGTTACCATAATTGTCACCATCGGACTTGGTAACTTCTACCATTCTGCTTAATTGGTAGTCTTGTCTAGGAAGTTTTGATCTGCGTTTATACAGTCAGGACAGAGTACAGTCAGAACAGTTGTGATCTACAGTGGTGATAGCGTTTACAGTCAATTAGTGCGTAGTTACCTTAATTCCAAGTAGTCGATGCCGTCAGATGAGGCCATCTGTCACAGGCACAATAGGTTAATTTTCCACTATTTATTGTGTTGGTGGCATCCGAAAGCTCATGAGAAAATAATTTAACTAATTCAATGACCTTCAACTATAAGCTTGCGATCAAAGCAATAATTTCATCGTAAAACCTCAGTCGGCACCTTGCATCGAAGATATTTAGTAACGTAGATATTGAGCAGTAACGTGTTATAAAGATATATAACGTGTTATAAGATATTACGTGTTATAAGATATTGAGCAGTAACGTGTTATAAAGATATATAACGTGTTATAAGATATTGCGTGTTATAAGATATTGAGCAGTAACGTGTTATAAATTACAGCCTTCCCAATGCATTACGCATCAAACCTATATACAGTGAACAAGTTACGCAAACAAGACGCTGTAAGGAAGTTGCGCGTTACGTCGATGTTATACAAGCGTGCATTGTTATAGCATGACCGCAATTATAATTGCCGGCATTGTTTGGTGATGACTTGGCAATACACCGGCACTATGTAACAGAGAAACTCATACGGCAGCAGGGCTATTGAACGCTGCATGGCCCGCTGAGATAGCGGATTTGGTGGTCATGCAGGGAAAAAAGCTTTATTTACTCTTAATTGAATTCAGAAAACCTTTGTTCGTATGATTAACCTTGCAAGGTATAAAGGCTTTGTGGCTACTATGAAGTGCAGTCAGTAAATTTTTATAGGACTATGTTGTGCCTTCATGGTATTTTAACATTGCAATATGAACGGTATTGGATTTTGAAGACGTTAAAATTGAGGCGTACTCTTGAGCTTTGCAAGACAAGAGAATAAGTGCAAAATGTGGCTGCTCTGTATTAGGGCTCTGAAGGCTTCAAATACAAAGGCTGATAGGTTTCTGTTCTAAGACGCCTAGTAAATCACTTTGAATTTCGTCTAGTGTTGATAGTGCAAAATGTGGATGCTATAGGACAGTTTTGCTCACGCCGGATGTGCGGAGACGGTTTGGCATTCCATGATTAAAATGGAATGTGAACGACAATGCAAATGAGGCATTATGCTGAGATGTCCCAAACCTGAGAATTCTGAAACATCACTGACACTATATGGGATAGTTGCAGGTGGCAGGATGTAGTCAAGGAACTTCGCCGATGCTGTAAATTAACTTCATTCTTAAAAAATTATTTGACTGTTATATATAGACTCGAAAACTGATTTATGCTGTTATTTTTAAGAACTGTTTTTGTTCTTCTTTATCTAAATTGTGTATGGATTAGAACTTGCGAGTGAATAAAAGGAGATTAAAAATAGCAATGTTATTGCCGTTATACTTAACAACAGATTTTTGAGCAGTAATTTCGTCGTTATTTGGCAGTAATGACGCCTTTACTCGGCAGGTTCACTGCAGGAGTTCACCATCTACGTAATAGAGCTGCTCGCTGACAACAAGGCGCTGTACAAACCCTGCACCACATTCAAGGTAAACAATGGCAACACAATACTGCACCACATTCAAGGTAAACAATGACGACACAATACTGCACCACATTCAAGGTAAACAATGACGACACAATACTGCACCACATTCAAGGTAAACAATGACGATACAATACTGCATCACATTCAAGGTAAACAATGACGATACAATACTGCATCACATTCAAGGTAAACAATGACGACGCAATACTGCATCAAATTCAATGTAAACAACGGCGACGATACAGAAGGAAGCAGCTGTATGGCGATTACTATGGTTGAGAGAAATACAGCAAAATAGATATTCTAATTTATTGTTTATTGTGCTAGCTATGAAATGAAACTAAACTTAATTTTTTTGTAAATATACTCATATAATTCTTGAATTGTTCTAGAGAGTTTTTTTCAGGGAGCGTTCATAATTCACGGCTATAAGTGTTATTAAGTGTTTTTAGGTTAATAGGCTATGTAAAAGTGTTATTAAATATCCCCTGGTCAATTTTTTGCAAATGATTTTTTGAAAAAAATGTTTACCTTTTAATATTATCACATTGTTTGAAATTCATGATTAGTTCCATGTGTTTACATATATTATACGTTGTACGTTCACGCTTGTGTGCCTTGATTTATTCTTCGAACGTGTAAATAATTGGTGATTAAATGTAAATGAGATGATTTTTGTACAGGGAGTATTCAAAACACACAAGGCTGTGTTCCTGTGTAACGATGGCGTCGGACATCCCGGGCAATTTGTGTACATACGAGACGACAGAAAAGAAGAAGAGTATTTCGGCCTGTGTGAAGTGGAGGTCTTCGCTTTCAGAGGTGAGCGAGGTACTTCAGATAGGAGGGGGTATGCAGGTATATATATTGTTTTTAGTAATTAATATCAGTGCCCTCAATGCCGCAATTTCCCTCACTACCCTCAATCCCCACATATGCTCCCCACTCCCATCGCTGCCTTTATAACCTTCACTTCCCTCACTACCCTCAACCTCCCCTCTCTCCCAGACCTCCCCTCACTCCCAGACCTCCACTCACTCCCAGACCTCCCCTCACTCTCAGACCTCCCCTCACTCCCAGACCTCCCCTCACTCCCAGACCTCCCCTCACTCCCAGACCCCCCCTCACTCCCAGACCTCCCCTCACTCCCATACCTCCCCTCACTCCCAGACCTCCCCTCACTCCCAGACCTCCCCTCGCCACCTTCACTCTCCCAACCATTATTAATCCCTCCCTAAAGCGTTCACTGTCCCCAACTCCCCCAGAGCGCACCCCGTGCGGCGCCCCCGGGGCCCCCCTGCACGGGAGCGTGACGGCGGTGGGGGGGCGGGCGGAGTACGGCTGCTCGCGGGGGTTCACCCTGACGGGGGACAGCGTCCACACCTGCTCGTCTGGAGGACGCTGGGAGGGACAGGAGCCTCGCTGCGTCCGTCAGTTGCCCTCACTATTATTATTGATAATTTCGTTCACTTAATATCTCTTATTTTATATGTTCATTTCATTTTATTGTATAGGCTAAAATTATTATATCTTCTAGGCAAATATTATTTACTATGTAAAATAAATTTGTTCTATTTTCTAGTCAAACGTCATGTTTTTATAAAGACAATTTTATTATTGGCTAAATCTATTTTATTTTATAGAGTTAATGGTATCTTATTTTATTTAGAGGCTAACTATATTTTATTTATATTCTAACTATATTTTATTTATAGGCTTACTATATATTATTTATAGGATAACTATAGTTTATTTTCTAGGCGAAGTTTATTTACTCAAGTGTCTCGTTCACCCGGAATTATTTTTTCGTTTATGTGTTGGTTGTAGTTCATGATATCTAGATATTCTCTTTATTCTTATCATCCATTTTATTTCGTCAGTCTATCACATCATACCTCAATTTATTCTAATTTCAATTTCAAACTTGTACAGGCTAAATTCTATTCATTCATTTTCTAATTACACTACGTAGAAATTAATTTAGGAAATTTCTCAATTCATTGCCCTATTTAATAAAAATACCTTCTCATTCACAGAGGTTCGCTGTCCCGATCTGCCTAATCCTCCTAACGGGAACATCGATTTCTTGTCGCCGAATTCTTCGGTACCGACGTCGGACCTGGTGCCCGGAACCGTGGCCCGATACCGGTGCACCGGCGGGTTCACGGTCCGCGGGAACCAGTCCCGTGGGTGCCAGCACTCTGGCCAGTGGGACGGCGTAGAACCCGTCTGTGCCCGTGAGTGCCTTTTATTTAATGAACTGGTATGAGAAATTTTCTGGAAGAATTCGAAAACTTTTATATCTATGCTTGGATAATGACTATCTATAGCCTAGATTTTAGAATCTCTAGCCAAATTGTTTTGAAATAATGCACGTTTCCTATCGATCTTCATCTTTCGTGTAATGACAATAAAAATTTCCAGATTTCAAATAGACCCTCGGTAAGTTCGTAATATAATTCTAGGAAATCCGATTACGAATCGAACTTGTACTCGGATGTTTATTATTAATGCACCAGTTATTATCGCTATGATCGATTATTATTGATCTGTATTATTGTTGCGAATCGCAAATAATTAAATGTGTATTTAACTGCATCTCGAATTTTTCATTATTTTACTATCGGTGCGCCTCCATAGAAAATTTGATGTTGGCGCACTTGAGTCTGAGGAGATTTATTGATTGTTGCTGGGTGACTCAACTATTTCTGGGTAACTTGACTATCGTTGGACGGGTAACATCGTATTGCTGGGTAAGGTAACTCAACTATTTCTGGGTAACTTAACTATCGCTGGACGGCTAACATCGTATTTTTGGGTAACTCAACAATTATAGGTTACTCGCGTCTGGCGACTCGTGTCACAGCAAAATCTAAATCAGTTGGCTACTGCAATTTTCTTTATTATTATTCATTCCATTACTTCCATGATTACACTCAATACTCTATTTTTATCGTAGTTTGCAGCTTGTCTTACTAACTGAGTCTCTCCTGCCAGGAGTGAGCTGTGGTGATCCGCCAGAGGTGCCGCACGCCCGCCACACGCTCCTCAACACGACGTCCGTGCACGGAGGCATCGCCGTCTACACATGTGCTCCTGGATACCGGCTAACTAATGGTATGGCGAACTCATCACTAACTGTAGCTAATGAAAGCTAATCGATCAGTAGCTTATTAGAGCTAATAATTTCGGAAAATTTTTAGCTAATAGGAGCTCAGAAAAAACTTGGTAGGTTTGTGGTTTAGTAGAGCTTAAACTTATAAGATCTGTAGCTACTTAGGGCGAACTAACTCAGTAGATCTGTATCTAATTAAAGCTAACAAAGTTAGTAAATGTGAAAGTAATTAAGGCAAAAAACAGTAGATTTGTAGTAAAATACGTACAACTAACTCAATAGATCTGTAGCTAATTAGAGAAAAAAGTCAGGGAGATGTGTAAAACATTGACCAAAGTGCGATGCATTTTTGCCCTTGTTTGGATCATCCTGATCCAATTTGACCAAACAGAAGATGATTTTCTCTGACTGCTTCACGCCCCGATTAAATGAAATTTTATAAGCATGCCAAGTTGAATTTTCTTTACTTGCAGCATCTGCTGATATGGTGAGCACGTGTGAAGACTCCGGCAAGTGGCGAGATGTAAACATAACATGTGAACTCATCACCACTGCTCACTGGGAGCTCATAGAAAATACAGACAGAGGCGCCACTAACGGCCGTTCACTGAACTACGAAATCGAAACTACGATCAGGAAGAAGGAAATAACCCAAATTGCACCAGAGCAATCATCTGCTTTCAACTCTCCATTGGTCATGGGTCTAGCAGTTGTTGCAGCACTTTTATTGATAGCTCTTCTGTTTTTGCTTTCAGTTTTTGCTGTAAGGAGGCATTACCTTACAGGTCCTGGTTCGTTAAACCCTCTACTCAGATCTCCCCTCAAGCGACCCCCCACGTACGACACCGGTTATCTAAACAACGCCGCATACATCATGGAAAGACAATACAACGACAGCATGAACAACGGGAACAGAACTCCTGCTTCTTCTCTGTACCACAACAATCTTTTAAGCGTGTCATCTAGAATCCCGGTAGAGAATGGTACTGGCAACGCCGACAGCGGCAGTTTATCGGGCAGCATTAATAGGCTCGATGAACCGCCTTATGAAAGAGTGCGGTCACGTTCGGAACACAGCTACGAAACTATCAGGAAACTGAATCAGCAAAAGTCGTATGTGGACGAGGATGCTGATAGCGAAGATCACTGTTATCAGCAAGAGCCGAATTACGAGCGTGTTTCTGGAGACAAAGGAAGTTTGTGGTACGAGAGCGCAGATAAAGCAAGCGTTGGATATGAAACCGTGCCGGATGACAGACGTAAAACTCCAGCTGACGATGCGAATAATTATCAAATTAAAGAGAGCAACAATTGCAACGAATGTAAAGAATCATTGACCACGAAAAATGACTGTTTCATTCACAAGGTAAAGGACCCTGGCTATGAGAAAATAAAAGAAAAGGATCATCAGTATGAAACTCTGAAAGAAAAAGATCCTGGCTACGAAACAATGAAGAAGAATTCTATCGTTCATGGATACGCTTCAATTAAGCCCAAGTCATCAGGAACCAATTTAGCAGAAGACAATAAAAGCGACGTGTCCACAATATCAATACCCGATATTCTGCAGGGCATCGAAGCTTTGGAGGATACCGCAGCATCGGTCCCAGTGCCTCCTGAAATTTTAGCGCTTTACGCAAAGGTGGACAAATCCAAGAAGAAAAAGAAACCTCCGGAACTTTCAATTCAGCAGAATTCTGAGATCGAAGAATCGAATTATACTTCAATTGAAGAGTCCAAAGAGGCTTCACCGTCTCTAAGTATCATTAATGCCGGCAGACCAACACCACCTCCGAGACCAAAAGGCATGGCTCCTCCGGTTCTCCAGCCTTACTCGATTTCCTTCCCTTCATCCTCACCCGCTCCTCAAGAATCATTTTCTTCGTCAATTTTACCAAACGCCGCGTTACTTGATTCCAATCAAAATTCTTCAACACTTACGAAATCGTCACCACGTTCCTCTGGAAGCCACTTTCCCCTCCAACAAACCTATTCGGATTCCACCATAAGAATATCTGTACCAGACGCGTCTTCTAGAAGCAGTAAAATGTACAACGGATATCAGCACATGGCGTCTTGTGATGACATCTCTCGACCACCCAGCGTTGCCAGCGAATGCACCAGTCCATCTGGGACTCTCAGACCTCTGCCTCCAATTCCTAAGCATTAATTGCGTTTACCTTAAAAACTTTATATAACGACGGGAACTTTTGTTACAATACGTTTAGTTGTGAATAGCCATGACGACGGTTAATGTATTAAAATGGGTTATTTTGTTTTTGTTGTAATACACTCCTAATCACGTAGTCGGTACCTTACTATCAGTAACTTCATGCATCGTGGAACCCACCGACCTTAGCCTCCCGCACAACAGCAGCATCAGCCTTGCTACCATATAATTTCTTATTGTATAGCTTATTTTAGCATCTTCTTCTCCTCTATTATCATGATTGTAACAATATTTTCTTCAGCTCGATGTAATCAAGTTGATTTCCGTCTAGTTGAAACTACTTAAATCTCCACAGCTTTTACTTGACGGTCCTTGTCGGCGGAAAAGCCGATGGGACAAATTAATGCCACAGTAACATGCATCGTGTTTCACGCGCGTGTCATTCATAAATCTTATTTAACTAAAAACGATGGGAGTTCATCAAACAAAATGAGCTTTGAATTTCATTAATTGACTCTCTTCGTGTTTTTTTGTTGCACTTATTAAAATCTGCCGTGAGTAGAGCGGGTAATCATCATCATAGCAGATACATGTTTTCTCCGCATGTTAAAAATTATTAGTCGTGTACAGCATTCATCATTATTATCGTAAATTCTCATAATATTTTATTGTACATAATATTTATTGTAAATGATTTATATAAAACAGGCATCAATTGGTTTCATTTTTCCATAATTTTTTCACATTATACCTCAGAAAAAAATTTTCATCAGAAGCTTGAAAAATGTATAACAACCGCAGAAAAATGCATTGAAAATATCACGGGAATTATTGAAAATATATTATTAGGTTTCTATAGATATTAGAACATTTGCATACCATCTAATTATGAGAAAAGTACAAGTTTATTCTTAAGATGCAATATTCGTCACAACTATGGCGTACCTTGATATTTTTTGAGTCGTTCTTTTTCTTACTTCCGAATCCAAATGAGTACAATTTATAAAAATGTCCCTATATATTTAATGTAGACATTCAAAGATAAATTTCAAAAGATGGAGGAACAATAACTTTCGAATTTCTGATTTTCATAACGAATACATCAGAAAGAATGAACATAACGAATGCGAGTATTGTCATGGCAATCCCTCCTCAGATTGGCTAAGGATTGTTACGATCAAACCGGAAAAGTTAAGTGAGACTTTCCAGGCTTGCATTAAATTGATTGCCTGATTCAGGCAGTAGTAACATCGATACAAATAACATAACTTTCAAAAATGCCTCCATGAAGTAACTGAGATGCGTTGAATGAAAGGCATAAATATTTATTTAAATATCTCATCCATATTTAAATGATTAATTCTGAAATAATTTGCCATCATTAGAAAATATTTGTGTAGCCCATTAAGCAGATGAACACAACTGCCCGTATTTCTTAGTGTACTATTATTGCTCAATTTATGATATAATAAATGATTTGGCATTTCGGTTAATTTGATATAATAAATAATTTGACAATTATTTTTGTACTCCTAAAGTACTCGCAAACGAATAATGTTGGAATGTAGTAGAAGGTAACAATTGTACGTAAAACAATCGAATAACTTGTGAACGACAAAAGGTATTGCTTGAGTGTTTCTTCATCCCAATTTTCATTTCTATCTTAATTAAGGTTATTTTCAGAACATTAATTAAAAATACTAACTACAGGGACTAGATAATTTGACTGTCTGAGATTCTTCAGCGATCAGCAGAACAAGTGAATTTTTAACATTTCTAGACTACTATAAATGCTGAAATAATATTTTACTTAAATACACGGCAGAATCAACGTTAATATTCGAATCGAAATACTGAAATTTTCTAGAAAATTTTCGAGCATTTCCGAGAAAGTGTTAGCTGTGGGAACATTGCAAGCTCAGCGGCCGCTGTTCACCCAATGAGCATTAGATACGTGGAACAAAAGTTCACTGCTCACGGTGCAGTGATGACATCAGTGCTCACGATGTAATCATATGGCTCATTTATGTAATAAAATTAACCGGAACTTGATTTAACATTATACAATATTTTTGTACTCGACAGACCCGAGTTTCTCAGTTTTTCTTGGTCTGGTTGTCTCGAAAGCAACGTGCTGCTGCACGGTCTGCAGCAGCGGTCGTCGTCTCGTCTCGGGCAGCAGCAGCACCAGCGCAGCGCTCAGCAGCGCCAGGCCCACGTTCAGCGCCAGCGACAGCCACGGCAGAGAAGGCGGCTGAAAAAAATATAACTCAGTACTCATTGCATTTTTTCGTCGACGAAAACTTGAAGTCACGGACGGACAGACAGACGGACAGACAGACGGACGGACGGACATGGCGAGCGTAATAGCGCCTTTTTTCCATAAATGAGAAAATGCACTAAAAAGTGCGGATGTTCGGAAAATGGAAGCCAGCCTAACACGTTCAGAATATTCGTCAGGCAAACAGGGACGTTCAGAGCAAGAGGCAGCCAAACAGGGATGTTCAGAGCAAGAGGCAGCCAAACAGGGACGTTCAGAGCAAGAGGCAGCCAAACAAAGGACGTTCAATGGTCCGTAATTTGCTAGGCATTTTAAGACGGAACATATGCTCATGCATAGCTTCGTCTAGTCTGTTCTTGAAGGCATTCATACTCGGAGCGTCAACGATGCTATCAGGAAGGCTGTTCCACATGTCGGTGACTCGAAGCGAGAAGAAATGTTGTAGCAGGGATGTGTTACAACGCAGTTTTTTAGTTTATAGCCCGCCTCACCAAACGCCCGCCACAAGAAGGGCTCCTAAAACGTGATAGTATCCATGCTACGAAGCTCACATAGGGTTGCACCCAAGAGGCTGCGAGTAACCCTGTGAGCCAGTAACCCTCGCATATTAGAAATTTTGTTCAGTTTGTTCCGTTTATTGAAAATTATGTTCCGTTCTAATGTAACGGAGACCTTAAAGATTAAGTTAGCTTAAGTATTGATATCGAGAGACATACAGAAGCATTAAGAGAGAACTTTTGACTGCTTATGTGATACGGAGGTGACTCAAAGTGTGTTCTAGGCTACTGTATTGCTCACAGTGACCAGAGTGCAATTCACTTTCTATCATCTTTCGATTTAATGCATGCTATGGGCCCTTTACAGCGTTGCCAGATGGTATATTTCTATACCAGATTTCACAAATCTGGTATTTTCAGAAGGTGTCTGGTATGAAAATTTTAGATCTGGTATATTTGCCTAAATCTGGTATTTTTCTGGTATTTTCTGACTTACTGCAAATTTACTGCATTAAGTTCCACCTCTGAAGTTTGAATTTCCTCCAACGTAGGCGCGGATTATACATATTACCACCAGAGCGGCGCGACTAGAGGTTTCCCGCCATTTTTGGAACCGCAAGTTTACCGCTTGATAAAATAACCCCAATTTAATTGTTAACATTTAACAAAAGTGCTTAGTGCAATATGAGCACGAGAGTGATGATCCTCGATTGATTACTGATCAGTGATGAACTGATGATATGGAGTGGACACACCTCCATACCTGAGGACACTTTGTTTAGTTGTGTATCTGTTTGGTTGTATATGTCTGCTGGGTGCTCCTGAAATTAGGTATCCGGTCCACAAAAATAGGAATATTCACCCTGGAGCTACGGTAATATTGTCTCCGATGAACTTGTAAATTATGATGTATTTTTAGGTGTATTACACAGTACACACTCAATTTCTTAGTGTATCTCGGTACCAAGATTACCAAGATACACTAAGAAATTGAATGTGTACTGTGTAATACGCCTAAAAATTTTGCTCTGCATGGTACATTCGAAATTTTGCATAGAAACACAATAATAATACACTACAGTAAACTCGAAGATTGTGTATAACAATGGGAAGTAAGAAATTGTATATTTAATAGCAAAGGATTTGTACGTTTAGTACCACTTGAATTTTGTGCTTGTTACGCATTCAAAAGGTTCGTCTAATTCGACGGAAATACAGTCTACTCGAGAGTATAAACTACTCGAGTACACAATCTACTCGAGAAATAGTTTGTAAGCGCATCACAAAAGAAACAGACAATAAACCAGCTTAAGACCAAAGTAAGCATTACCCATAGTGATGGCGGGGTTAAAGCAGCTTAAGACCAAAGTAAGCATTACCCATAGTGATGGCGGGGTTAAGAACAAGATGCATGGACACCCCCAGCAGGAACCTGGCGGGCAGGAGCACCAGCAAGGACGGCGCCGAGGCCACCACCAGCGTGAAGGTGGTCATCAGGAGCGCCCCGTAGAACAGGGACCTTTGACGGCCCAGCCTGCGGGACAGGGACGCTGTGGCGAGGTAATGCTGGACATTGTGGCGCAAAGTGGCGTGCTGGGCAGGGATATTAGCACGGCATTGCTGGACATTGTGGCGCAAAGTGGCGTGCTGGGCAGGGATATTAGCACGGCATTGCTGAACATTGTGGCGCAAAGTGGCGTGCGGGGCAGGGATATTGTGTGGTATTGCTGGACATTGTGCAGCTTGTTTTTTAAGCTGAGCAGAAATATTATTGTACCATATAACTAAAAATTATTGTGTAATTCTAGGTTACTTAAAAATTTATGTGCTCTATGGACCCGCGCAAAGTTTGAATGCAAATTTTCCAAATTTGCACTGATGCATATTTAGACTTGGATATCCGATACAACAAATTTCCAGTGGACCATTTTTATCGGCATTTTTAGACGATCAATTAAAGTGATAATCAGGATTTTATTATTTACATTTAATACCTAAATAGTTGTGATTAAGTGTTTGTTAATCTTACAAATCAGTGAAGACGCCGCCAGTGAGTGCACCAACAGTACACCCAAGTGTCAGCACCATCTGGTGTAAGCTGCGATACCAGCTGCGCTCACACACCAGCTCCAGCTGTAGGAACACAGATGTGTTAGCAGCTGGGGCCATACTTTCAAACCTCTCTGAGTGAACGTAAGTACTTACGCTCTATTTTCTTGTCTATGATTGGAGGATTTTACTTGTAAGGCCGCCAATGATTGGCTGATGAGCTAACGATCTCTTAACTTTTTTTGAAATTATAGGCCCTGATAATTAAAGCGTGGGTCTTGGTTATAAAGTACTTAACATTCATAGATATGAGTGAGCCATTGTTAAATAATGATACATTTTTTTCTTATGAGAATCACACTGACCGAGGTTATACAATGTTTGAAGATATTTACTGAGAGTATGAATCAGAATTCATGAATACAATGTAAGTAAGTGATGAATAAAAATTCAATAACTGTAGCGAATATTGATTGTTCCGAAATCCATAAATAAATCATGGCAAAAAAACATTTAGTGAATAGGCCATTTTACATATTGTGAAGAGATCATGTAATATATTATGAGTAAAAATGATTGTCTCACGCAATCGGACAAATAAAGAGAATGGAGTCAGCTGATATTTATTCAAATTGATTTCAACGTGCAACTGGCGTTGATCGGGCCAGTTGTATAGGGAATCCGAATTCGATAATTCATATGCTGTTGTATAGAAATATTGGAAGAACGGGTGGTTCAATGAAGTGGTATTGAATGCAGAATTTCAAGTTCCTCAATGATGTTGCCACGATGAGTCCCAGATACTGAACTGAAAATTTAACTGCTTACTAAACAATTAATTGATCAGATACTACCTATGTAGCAAACAATTCCAAATTATGTATCAATTGATAATGAACAAATGACTAAATTAACAGACCTAAGATTTTGGTGCGTGTCAGTGCTTAAAGCAATTAGGAGACATAAGAAATATAGAGGAAATCAGTCGAAGGAAGGTACTCTAGGCGGAAAAGTAGAAAAGGACAGTTTGAGATTTTGACGTTGGAAAATTGAAGATAAAGAAATTGAATTGTGGGTCACAGCTAAGGAAGCTATATAGTTCCTCTGCCAATATCAGAGACCACGTTTAAAGCTAATTTGAAATTTGAGATATCAGTAATTGAACATTAATTTGTCTGGAGTACCACAGAACAACATACCGTACAGAGCGTAAATAAGTAAATGAAAAAAAGCAACATTCACACGACCAAAAAGATAGTGAAAAAGTAACCAGGAAGACGTTTAGAATTGCAGGAGCCCCTGTTGCAGTGATAGCCGAAGTGAATACTGGTCCAGAAGTGAATAACTGAGAAGTGAATAACTGAGTTTGCCAAAAGGTACGTTTAGAGATAGGACGTCTGAACGGTATGGATGCTGATAAAAGAATGCTGATCCTAGCCGATATTGCTACCTACTTAAACTACGAAACTAAACTGAATACAACAAAACTGTGAATGCAATATGAACAGAAAACGACATCTAGCCAACAAAATCTACAACGCACGACAAATATTATTAATGGCGGGAAAATTTTCCCACAATATGGTGATTAAAAGTTAACTCTGAATGTTAGAACATTAATTGTAGCTTTGAAAGGCTTCTCATTAATTTATTTAGGATGGCAGCTGCCATAATCAATGAATGGTAATTAACACTGACAATTTAAGCATGAATATGCCTGTTTTTTTTTCATTAATTGTTGGATTTTCGTTAGCACAAGTAAAAACAAATATATCAAAGGACATCATATATCATATTTATTATATATCATTTATATATTCTCACGTCTGCAGTGACCGTCGAAGCGAAGACGGTGGTGTTGAACACGAAATGTTGACACTCAACGTCCTGTTGAACACCTTGCAATGTTGCACGGTGCGCCTCGCATGCCAGCCTGTGTCAATAAAATGAATCAACTGTTGTAATGATTTGTCTGTCATCATTTTATGGTGTCAAGATAATTTTAATTGATGACACAATTTTTTACGGTTATTTAGTCTGTTTGATTTCTGTTTTTTCCTTACATGTATTAACTAGTATAGTATTACTATAGTGTACCTATAGTAATACTATAGCGGTTATTAGTAGTAGTTAAGTATAGTGTTACTTATTTCACTCAGGATTTACAAAAAAGACATACATAACAAAATATTGCTCATGAGCTACCTTGCAAATGTTATAATAGTTTAGTTGGCGCATTATCAACATCTATTACAGGTTTCAGTTCTGTACCAGTACAACCAATCCATTTTTATAAACAATACAATTGACAATCATTGATCAGTTGATGTAGGTAACATAGTTGTGATTTTTTCTGCTGAAAACAAAAATTGTTTGGCGATTTGATAACCCAATTTGGCGATTTAATAATATTCGTGATTCAATGAAAAGCTTTTGCCTAGAATTTGCCTCTTAGCGCAAAATAATTTACCGATCCCGTCTCGTCGATACAAACTATTTACGGAACATGCCAATTTACATTTTCTTATCGCATTTTATTTTAATTCTGTAGAAAACAATTCCACAAATTTTAATTCTTCTAAGCTAAAAAAGAAGAAATCAAAGTTTATCTAACTATAGAGAATTGTGTACATGTAATTCTCTATACACTTTAAGTAACCCTCTGTAATTATAAGTTTCTTCAAAGTTATAAAAACTAACGGTTCGTAGCTCCTACAAAGACATAGCCCCTCTACGCCTGCCCTTCGATTTGTTCGCTTCCCAGCATTATAACAACATCCATATTCCGACTAAAAATACCATCAATGTTCCGACCAAAAACAACATTCATGTTCCGACCAATAACAATAACAATATTCATGTTCCGACCGAAAACAACACTAGTGTTCCGACAAAAAAACAAACATTCATGTTGGGACCAAAAACAACATTCATGTTCCAACCAAGAAAAACATCCATGTTCCGACCATAAACATCATTCATGTTCCGACCGAAAACAACATTCCTATTCTGGCCATAAACAACATTGAAGTTCCAACCAAAAACAACAATCATGTTCCGGCCAAAAATAACATTCATGTTCCGACCAAAAGCAACATTCCTATTCCGACCAAAAACAATATTCATGTTTATTCATGTTCTGACCATAAACAACATTCATGATCCGACCAAAAATAATATTCATGTTCCGACAAAGAAAAAAACATTCCAATTCTGACTAAAAATAATATTCAAGTTCTGATTAAAACAACAATCATGTTCCAACCAAAAATAACATTCATGATCCGACCAAAAACAACATTCCAATTTTGACTAACAACGACATTCAAGTTCCGATTAAAACTACAATCATGCACCGACCACAAACAGCATTCATGTTCCGACCAAAAACAATATTCATGTTTCGAACAAAAAAGGCATTCACGTTCCGACCAAAAACAGCATTCTTGTTACAACCAAAAACAACATTCATGTTCCGACCCAAAACAACTTTCACGTTTCGACCAAAAATAACACTCATGTTCCGACCAAAACAGCAATCATGTTACGATAGCAAACAAAAATCATTTTGCGACCAAAAACAACATTCACGTTCCGACCAAAAATAACACTCATGTTCCAAACCAAAAATAACACTCATGTTCCGACCAAAAAATAACATTCATGTTCCTACCAGAAACAACATTCATGGTCCAACCAAGAGCAACATTCATGTTCTGACCCATAACAACATTCACGTTCCGTCCAATAATAACATTCATGCTCCGACTAAAAAACAACATTCATGTTCCGACCAGAAACAACATTCATGTTCCGACCAGAAACAACATTCATGTTCCGACAGAAAAAAACGTTCATGTTCCGACCAAAAAAACATTCATGTTGCGACGAAAAACAACATTCACGTTCCGACCAAAAACAACATTCATGTTCCGACCAAAAACAACATTCATGTTGCGACCGAAACAACATTCACGTTCCGACCAAAAACAACACTCATGTACCNCATTCACGTTCCGACCAAAAACAACATTCATGTTCCGACCAAAAACAACATTCATGTTGCGACCGAAACAACATTCACGTTCCGACCAAAAACAACACTCATGTACCGACCAAAAACAGCAATCATGTTCCGATCGCAAACAATATTCATGTTCCGACCAAAAACGACATTCATTTTCGGACCAAAATCGACATTATTTTTTCGACCAATATCAACATTCATATTCCGACCAAAAACAACATTCATGACAACCCTTTGATTCGAGAGCAGTCAGTGCTTGTTCTGACTAATAACTGGTTTCAGTTTTCCGAAATATTATTGTTATCAGTTTACTGAACATTTGATGATTTCAGTTTGCTGATAATAGCTGATGCTTTCAGTTTACCAAATTTTGTTACTTTCAGTTTACTGACTGAAAGGTGCTTTAAGGTTACTGAACAATTATTGCGTGTCAAGTCAGTGAGCAATTGCTGGTATAGTGAGCATTAAACTATTAGTGATACCATTTTACTGTACCATTAAAGATTGCAGTTTAATGAAATATTATTGTTTTTATTTTGCTGAAGAATTAAAACCCTCAATTCAATGAACAATTACTGAGTTCAGATTACTGAACTATAAACGATTTCAGTTCACTGCCTGATTATTGCTCACTATTGTAATTAAATGTTATATAGAGTTGCCATTTTAATCTATATTTTCTCGTTCATTTTACATCACTAACATTTTACATAACGAAATGTGAACGTGTGAACGATTGCTAGGTGTGAAGTTTATTGATTATCAGTGTTCTTGCTTTGCTATCTTTACCTCTATCTATTTACATTTAAATCAAATATGTTATCGTCGACACAAAGTAATCCTTCTTAAGACAGTTGAATTTAGATCTATGATGTGGCATTCCGAATACAACATAAAGCATTCAATTGTGCTTCGATTCTATAATTAATTCTATTTGTTGGCTTATATTGCACCGTTTGTCGAAGACTATATATTCTGCTAATTAACACATTCACACTCTTCATTGAAGATAATATGAATAATGATATTAATGCAAACTGTAATTGAAATGTTTATTCGACTGTATCGACGTACATTGTAAATAATGATGTCAAATAATGTTTGGGTTTTATTTTATTGCCTGTGAATAAGCTAGAAGCGAAATGAGACATGGAGATGGCTATAGATACTCTTACCATCATTAAATAAATTAACTTGAATAACAGTGAAGTGACATTGATGAAGAACATTCTCTATAAGACTTACTAAATTTTAAACAAACTGTCACCCTTTGTGATTTGAGGTTAATTAAATTCTCTTAAAGACCTATTGAATTCACATCAAACAATCCCTAACCCATCAGGCAATGTCAAGTTGAATCAACGTTGAAACAACAAAACTCACGACGTTGAAATAATGTTGAATATTAGTTTAGAATGAAACATGAAGCAACGTCATTTTTTCAACATCGTACATTTCGACGTTGCTTCAATTTTCATTCTAAACTAACATTTAACGTTTTTTCAATGCCGTGAGTTTTGTTGTTTCAACGTTGATTCAACCTGACATTGCCTGCTGGGCACTGTCATGTTGTAGAGGGACAAAATATATGCTACATTCTAATTTCTGAAAGATTTCTGCCCCTATTTCTGAAGAATTTCATACGATGAAGTAACACGATATAAAATATAGTTCGGGGCACATACTATATTACATCCTCTTAAACTTACATAGACCATATTGAGCTAAACTCATTTCATGAGAATGAACACAAAATGAAAAACGTCATATATAGATTGGGGTTTAGTTTCCGATAATGCACAGACGCCAATGAAGTATATCGGATTCGTATTCAAATAGTGACAAATTCAAATACAACAAAAATTACAGGACATATGAGCCAGCTAATGATGACAGTACAAATTGGAGTCAAGCTGCCAAGTAATAAATTTTACGTCCAAAGAAAGACAGTACGGTTTACTTCTTAACATCAGTCATGTTAGGAGAAGTGCGGAGCCAAAAGTCGGTCCGCAACCTGTTAGGTTAGCGGAGTGAATTCCCTTAAAGACTTATTGAATTTACATCAAACAGTCATAAACTGTGATGAGTTATTGATGAAGTACATTCTCGTAGTGATCTATTTAATTAACATCAAACAATCACTAACTGTGATGTGAGGTTGGTGAAGGCAGTGGGTGCTGGAGAGGAGGCGCAGGAGTAGTGCAGTGGTGGTGCAGTGAACTCCGCGACCAAAACATTGCTCACCTCTAGCACCGCGGCTGCCATCATAAAATTGCACAGAAACATGCATTATAATAATAGATTATCATTGAATAAACTAATGAAACTACGGAAGGTTCAGAAGAAACGAGCCTTACAAGCCAAGCCATGCATACAATAAATTGTCTGAGAATTTACATTTCAACGGAACATATTTAGCAATTGTGTGCCAATGAAACATAACTATTCATCACTATCTGAAATCCAAAAGAACGTTTCTAGTGAGTACTAATGTAGTTGATAAACATAACTGCTCATCACTGTAAGAAGTTATAATCATATAATTGAAGTGCATCATACAAGGAGTACGCCGTATACTATGAAAATATAAAAATGCACCTTATAGACATGATGCAACCAAGATTCATCTAGAACGGAGACAAAACTTAGCATAATAAAGTAATATCGGCGTTTAAGAACAGGGCACAATTGCCCTGTTGCCAACTCTTACAATTCTCCTGACTTGTCTCTTGGAGATCTGGGGACTGGTCTTCAGACCAGATCTATTCAAAAGCTAAGCTAAATAACTGCAAAATATTCAATAATTATTTGTGAGATGGGAAGGCGCTTCTAATCGAAACATTTGCGTACCAAAGACTCATCTAAGACTGAGCTGCACCAAAAACTCTCATAAAATGAACGCCCCAAAGACTCACTTAGGAATAGGACGCACCAAAAACTTACCTAAAACTATGACGCACCAAAGACTCACTTAGGACTTGGACGCACCAAAGACTCACCTAAAACTGAGACGCATCAAAGACTCACCTAAGACTGAAACGCACCAAAGGCTCACTTAGGACTTAGACGCATCAAAGACTCACCTAAGACGGAGACGCACCAAAGACTCACCTAAGACTGAAATGCACCAAAGACTCACTTAAGACTAGGACACACCAAAGACTCACCTAAGACGGAGACGCACCAAAGACTCACCTAAGACGCAGATGCACCAAAGACTCACCTAAGACGGAGACGCACCAAAGACTCACCTAAGACACAGATGCACCAAAGACTCACTTAGGACTAGGACACACCAAAGACTCACCTAAGACATACACGCATCAAAGACTCACTAAGACACAGATGCACCAAAGACTCACTTAGGACTAGGACACACCAAAGACTCACCTAAGACATACACGCATCAAAGACTCACCTAAGACGGAGACGCACTAAAGACTCACCTAAGACGCAGATGCACCAAAGACTCACTTAGGAGTAGGACACACCAAAGATTCACCTAAGACATATACGCACCAAAGATTCACCTAAGATGAGATGCACCAAAGACTCACTTAGGATTAGGGCGCACCAAAGACGCATCTAAGACTGAAGTTCACCAAAGACTCATTTAGGACTAGGACGCGCCAAAGACTCACCTAAGACTGAGATGGTGAAGTATAGTACCGTCCACCTGCCAAAGCCTACTGACGCAAGTATATCGTCAAAAGTGTCATCTTTCGGCTCCATATTTTACTTTTTGCCTCTCTCAATTTTGTAGTCTTTGTTCAGTCTATTTTGCTCTAATTCACTGTCATGTTACGCATTGCTGTCTGAGTTATTCCTCTCACTCTAAAATTTGGTATTTAAAACTAAGTTTAGTTTATTATAAACATCCAGAAATCATCCCAATATTATTTTGGCATTACTTTTGAATTGAAAAATCTTTGGCGTGACCAGAATAGAAGCACTACGACAGTTCCGCCCGCCGCGGATACAAGTATCCCAGCAGGCATTCGGTGGTTGAATCAACGTTGAATCAACTACGCATTACGACATTGAGATCGGGGTGAAAGGAGGTTTAGAATGAAAATTGAAGCAACATCTTTCATGCAACGTCGTACTGACGTTACAATGCAACGTTGAATCAATGTTGTTACTACGACGTTGCTGCAACGTTGAATTCTATGGTTAAATCGACGTTGAATCAACTACGTATTACGACATTGATATCGGGGTGAAAGGAGGTTTAGAATGAAAATTGAAGCAACATCTTTCATGCAACGTCGTACTGACGTTACAATGCAACCTTGAATCGATGTTGCTACTACGACGTTGCTGCAACGTTGAATTCTATGGTTGAATCGACGTTGAAACAACTACGCATTACGACATTGAGATCGTGGTGAAAATAGGTTTAGAATGAAAATTGAAGCAACGTCTCTCATGAAACGTCGTACTGACGTTACAATGCAACGTTGAATCAATATCCAGCCTTTGGAACCCGATCTTTCCGTAACTGACGATTGACTGAGATAGCTGCTGGACTTATTGCTTGGTCCGTAATTTGCTAGGCATTTTAAGTCTGAACATATGCTCCTGCATAGCTTCGTCTAGTCTGTTCTTGAAGATGTTCATTCTCGGAGCGTCAACGATGCTATCAGGGAGGCTGTTCCACATGTCGGTGACTCGGAGCGAGAAGAAATGTTGTCGCATGGATGTGTTACAATGCAGTTTTTTTAGTTTATAGCCGTAGCCCCTGGTGTTGATTCTTGTTCAAATTCTAGTAATCCTTCTGGGACCTTGTATAAACCATGAGTATACTTGTATACTTCAATGAGGTCACCACGCAGACGTCGATAACTGAGGCTTGGAAGCTTCATAATCTTTAATCTTTCCTCATAGGACTTGCCTTTCAAGCCCGGAATTATCCTTGTTGCACGTATTTGAACACTCTCGACTAAATTTTTTGTCCTTTTCAAGTTACGGTGACCACCCGATGTTTCCAAACTCTAGGTTCAGGCAACTAGTTGGTAGACTATCAATTATTCTGCTCGTGAAGGATCATCGGCATAGGAAAAATTGCTTTCAATTATCAATTTAACAGAAAAATATTAAATAAACTATGGAATAGTAGTAGATAATGAAACATAAGTTTTTCAAATCTTCGACAAGAATTGTATTCTTTTTGAACAAGAATAAAAATTTTTTAGCAAAATTGCTACATTGCCTCAATTTTATTCTTAAATAATATGTTTGTTTGTATTTAATGCTCCTCGTCACACTAGACATGTACGGATGAAAGTTAAATGTGAAATTTGCCTGTCGGACAAAAATGTGGGGCCTGTCACGCGAACGACGTTCGATACACTTGCACACACCTCCGTGTACAGAGTAAAACTGAGCTCGCGAACATCTTTAGCTGTCATTCTCATAGAATAGAATAGAAGTGTTGGCACTGAAGAAATAGGCCCATGACCTGTTGCCGATTCTTGTACTTTTCGTGACTTGATTCACAAGGGATCCGGCCTTTGGAACCCGATCTTTCCATAACTGACGATTGATTGAGATAGCTGCTGGACTTACTGCCTGGTCCGTAATTTGCTAGGCATTTTAAGACTGAACATATGCTCCTGCATAGCTTCGTCTGGACTTATTGCCTGGTCCGTAATTTGCTAGGCATTTTAAGACGGAACATATGCTCATGCATAGCTTCGTCTAGTCTGTTCTTGAAGGCATTCATACTCGGAGCGTCAAGACATTGTTTCAACGTTGAAATAAGGTTGTTTTACGTCTGTTCTAGTTTTGGTCAGATTTCGACGTTGATCGGACGTTTAATTTTGGTTGTTCAGCATTTCAACCTGAAATCAACATTGATTCAACGTTTAAAAATTAGTTAGCATTCAACGTATCAATATCGACGTTGTTTCAACGTTGAAATAAGGTTGTTTTACGTCTGTTCTAGTTTTGATCAGATTTCGACGTTGATCAAACGTTTAATTTTGGTTGTTCAGCATTTCAACCTGAAATAAACATTTATTCAACGTTTAAAAATTAGTAAAAATTCAACATACCAATATTAACGTTATTTCAACGTTGAAATAAGGTTGTTTCACGTTCCTTTTAGTGTTGGTCAGAAATCGACGTTGATATGACGTTTAATTTTGGTTGTTCAGCACTTCAACCTGAAATCAACATTGATTCAACGTTTAAAAATTAGTAAAAATTCAACGTACCAATATCGACGTTATTTCAACGTTGAAATAAGGTTGTTTTACGTCCCTTCTAGTGATGGTCAGATTTCGACATTGATATGACGTTTAATTTTGGTCGTTCAACATTTCAACCTGAAATCAACCAATAATCAACGTTGTTTCAACGTCAGATGCCTGCTGGGATATTATAGAGTGGCAGGATTCTATAAATGCCCTTCTATTCAAAGGAATATGTACATTAATTTTACAACAAGTGGTATCGTATCTCCTGCCATTTATGAAGATATTAATTCATTTATCATAACATTAAAATCTCGAGCGTGATCTATTTGCTCGAGCTAAATGGAGAGATCAACCGGATACGCTCTGAGTGAACGAGATTATAGAACGTGATTACTAGAATAGAAAAGAATAGAAGTGTCGGCACTGAAGAAATATACCCATGGCCTGTTGCCGATTCTTGTACTTTTCGTGACTTGATTTACAAGGGATCCAGCCTTTGGAACCCGATCTTTCCGTAACTGACGATTGACTGAGATAGCTGCTGGACTTATTGCTTGGTCCGTAATTTGCTAGGCATTTTAAGAGAGAAGCAAGCAACAGCATCGTGCATCAGGTGGCCCAAATGAGGGCGGATGAACGATAATCAGAGGCGGCGATCCATCGTGGCCTGGGACTGCTATGTCCCAAACAAATACTAAGGATACTAAGGGTACCAAGGATGCCACGTTACTATTTTGGTTTGACCCAACCCGTTACGACGTCTCTGACGCATTAATTAATACTTGGCAGTATTGCCGGTTTCGAGCCTCTAACTCTACGCCCTGCAGGTGGCGCTTTAACCTTATTAACATTGCCAAGTTGGGTCGACCATACATTTATTTACTAACCATTGCACTTAATTGCACTGTCAAAACACCTACCTCTAAAAGGCTTTCAAGTCACTTTTAAATTGACCCAGCGGTAATAAATTAGAAGGTTAGTCTCGAAATATTTAATATTAACTTTGAATAAATTGATCCATATATCTTGATCATCATATTTGATAATTGAATCCGATACAATAAGCGCTTTTTTGTCTGTCTAATCTTGATTCGTAACGGTCAATTTACAGTATAGCCTCCGGTATCCTCGTCGCATCTCTTTTGCCGTATGCTTCTTGCCTACTGTGCAGCCAGCGCGACTGTACACGTTATTTCATTTGAGGTTAGATTGGGTGATGCGTTCACTGTCAAGTTTTGTACCGCTAAATTGGAATTGCTGAGCATAATTGGTAAAATACTTTCTCAATCTCCAGCATTCATTTAGAAAGATCTATTTTTCCAATTTCAGTTCCCTCAACTACATCCACTGCAGTTCCGGTATTCACCTTCGCTGGATCTGAAGTTTATCAGTTGGAGTTTCAATAAAATTATTAGCCGTTATGCTCGTAGGAATTCCCCTTACACGCAGCCTCACAGGAGGCTGCGAGTAACCCTGTGAGCCAGTAACCCTCGCAGCCTCATTGCTCACCAACACCCCAGACTTTTGTTGCACTTATTAAATATCTGCCGCGAGTAGAACGGGCAATCATCATTATAGCAGATACGTGTTTTCTTCGCATGTTAAAAAATTATTCAGTCTTGTACAGCAATCATAATTATTATCGTGAATTCGCATTATATTTTATTGTACATAATATTTATTGTGAATTATTTAAATAAAACATGCATCAATTGGTTTCATTTTACCATAATTTTTGCACATTTTACCTCAGAACAAAATTTTCAACAGAAGATTGAAAAATATATAATAACCGCAAAAAGAAGCATTGAAAATGTTACGGGAATAATTGAAAATATATTATTAGGTTCCAATAGATATTAGAACATTTGCATACCATCTAAGTATGAGAAACGTACAAGTTTATTCTGAAGATGCAATATTCGCCACAACTATGGCGTACCTTGACATTTTTTGAACCGTCGTTTTTCTTACTTCCAAATCAGAATGAATAAAATTTAAAATAATTTATCTAAAAATATTTAATCGTGACATTCGAAGATAATTTCACAAGATGGAGGAACGATAACTTTAGAATTTCTTATTTTCATAACGAATACATCAGAAAGAATTAACATAAAGAATGCAAGTATTGTCATGGCAATCCCTCCTCAGATTGGCTAAGGATTGTAACGATCAAACCGGAAAAGTTAAGCGAGATTTTCCAGGCTTGCATTAAATTGATTGCCTTTTTCAGGCAGTAGTAACATCGATACAAATAACATAACTTTCAAAAATGCCTCCATGAAGTAACTGCAGCTTGAGATGCGTTGAATGAAAGGCATGAATATTTATTTAAATATATCATCCATATTGGGATGATTTATTCTGAAAGAATTTGCCATCATAAGAAAATCTATAGTATAGCCCATGCTAAGCAGATGAACACAACTGCTCGTATTTCTTAGTGTAGTATTATTGCTCAATTTATGATATAATAAATGATTTGGAATTTCGGTTAATTTGATATAATAAATAATTTGACAATTGCTTTTGTAGTTATAAAGTACTCGCAAACGAATAATGTTGGAATGTAGTAAAAGGTAACAATTGTACGTAAAACAATCGAATAACTTATGAACGACAAAAGGTATTGCTTGAGTGTTTCTTCATCCCAATTTTCATTTCTATCTTAATTAAGGTTATTTTCAGAACATTAATTAAAAATACTAACTACAGGGACTAGATAATTTGACTGTCTGAGATTCTTCATCGATCAGCAGAACAAGTGAATTTTTAACATTTCTAGACTACTATAAATGCAGAAATAATATATTACTTAAATACACGGCAGAATCCACGTTAATATTCGAATCGAAATACTGAAATTTTCTAGAAAATTTTCGAGCATTTCCGAGAAAGTGTTAGCTGTGGGAACATCGCAAGCTCAGCGGCCGCTGTTCTCCCAATGAGCACGAGATACGTGGAACAAATTAACGTTACATGAAATAGTTGAGAAGGTAAGGACATCAGTGCTCACGATGTAATCGTATGGCTCATTTATGTAATAAAATTAACCGGAACTTGATTTAACATTATACAATATTTTTGTACTTAACAGACCCGAGTTTCTCAGTTTTTCTTGGTCTGGTTGTCTGGAAAGCAACGTGCTGCTGCACGGTCTGCAGCAGCGGTCGTCGCCTGGTCTCGGGCAGCAGCAGCACCAGCGCAGCGCTCAGCAGCGCCAGGCCCACGTTCAGCGCCAGCGACAGCCACGGCAGAGAAGGCGGCTACAAAAAAAAGTGCTGATGTTCGGAAAACGGAAACCAGCCTAACACGTTCTGAATATGCGGCAACCAAACAGGGACGTTCAACACAAACGGCAGTTGAAGGAGGACGTTAAGAGTAGCCTATACATAGACGTTTAGAGTGAACTATTCTGCAGAGACAACGGCTCCAAAAAAAATGTGTGGAGGTTAAAAATCAATCTTCCACGACGATTGATGCTGACGTTTGATGTAAAGGCGGAAGAGCAAAGCCGATCCCGGAAGTCGTTATTTATAACATGATTTAGAAATATTTGTCGGTGAAAATATTAAATTTGTTAGATGAACTAGTGGACACTCCAATAAGGGTTTGTACTCACGACGACAGCAGACAGTAGAGGGGGTACATTGTAAGCAAAGTTCGCCATGAAAAGCCCCAACGATGTACCCAATCCCCGTACTGACGTGGGGAACAACTCTGACGTCAGGAGACGTAACATCTGCGACGTACAATGCATTAAAATTGCAATTTCATTACATATTTTAGAATCTCCCATAATATAAAAAAATACAAACAGGTTAATGGATCTTGTTACGCTTTGATGTGAGCAACACTAAAGTCACGATAAATGCATTTATACGGGCAGTTTATAGTCGAATACAGGGAAGCGTCTACACATAGCGAGCAGTTGCCGCCACAAAGTCGCCTTGTGTAGAGGGGGACATGCTGCTTCAGTGGCTAGTTGCGGCAACTGAAATCAACATGTTTTTTTTTTTGTGGCTGGTGAGTGGCCAGTAGCTGGTCACGTGGCGGAGTAACGGCCGTCTTATTGGCTAATATAAATCAATTATATTATCATTAATTAATGAGAAATTTTCAATATTTAGGAATGAATCGTGAAATCAGCATGGCTGTTATGCGAAATAATAAAGCTCAACTAAACTTTATACGGCCTTTTAAGACACACATATAGCAGCCACAGTTCAGGAATAGTGAAAGCTATTGATTGCTTCTTTTATTAGCATTGTTGCCGTCAAAACTAGAAGCTGTCACTTGTTGCCGTCAGATAGAGTAGCTGTCAAGCACTACCCCATGTTAATCACCATATTAGTTTTCTATGCGTCAATTATTGCTATATCTCTTTCATTATACTTCTAGTAGCTCATGAAACTTTCGTTTCGATATCAAGTACAATAAACTTATTCTATTTAACATATTTTGGTACTTTATTTTGGAAGAAACATCGTGTACGTTGTGTTAACATTATTTCTGCTGAGGTTTCACCTGAGAGACTCCGACCATCGTCATGTAGGCGAGGACTGCCGAGCTCAGCAGCAGCGTCTCTGGAGACAGACGTGTTGATTATCTTATGAATATGATTAGTGAAAACTTGTTTTCTTTGGCATCTTCACATGCCAGTTTGTGCACATTTTGTTTCAGTAACATTTTTCTATCGGGAATAACAGCATGCATCTCAACGATATCTTGTATGTGTCTTGTACAGAAATTCACTATGAAATTACAGACGCTCTTTGTGTCGTCAAAGTGAACGAATAAGCTAATCAATTTCAAATAATAACACGAAGAATATCAGTATAAAAACTCTGCATTAAACGAATAAAAGATCAAAGTTTACAATAAAATTTACAGAATATAATGTTTTTGTTAGAACCACTATCGGTTGATAATTACCCCTAGTCGGGTCTAGCATTTGCAGAGCCACCATAGCAGCGAGGAAGGCGCTTGTAGTCAGAGCGCAGGTCACAGATACCACAATCCTACCATAGGTGTCCCCGAGAGGGATCACCACGAAGGATGCTGGTACCTCCAGCAGACCGAGTAGTGCCATGTACAAGAACGGAGACCTGGTAGACGGGAGGGATTACGATAGGTAGGTAGTTAATAACAGTAAGAGAAGAAGTACGAAAATCACGGAAATCTCTACCCACTGCGATATCTGTGTTAATAATAGAGATAAGGTAGGACTAATACACGAATCTGCATACATGGCGAATGGTGATACCCGAGTGGTACAAGAGACGATGAATGATTAATACAGAAGTCTGTTTTCAGGTGATTACTGCGTTAATACAAAACAGTAAGTACGACTAATACAGAAATCTGCATCGATGGCGATACTTGCGATAATACAAGAAAGAAAATACGATTAATATAGAACTCTGTATCCATCGCGATCTCTGAGTTAATATAATAATGAAGGACGATTATTATAATGACCTATTTTATATACTTGAGTTAATACGTACGCGCGAGTGCCGACCAGGTATACAAATAACAATGACGCGGCGGTAGGGAATTCTTATCAACATCACCGTAGCTACGTTTCATGGAGATGATATAAAAGGTTGTACTAGGGCGAAGTTTTTCTGTGTTGTCTGTGCTGCTATGATGCTCTTTTGCATAAATATTGCAATGTTAGTTTTGGCAGTGGTTATGCAGCTCTGCCTACTGCTGTGATCGTTTTACGTTGATACTAAGTAGAGGTAACATAAATATAAAATGAACTTGCATGGCACTTGATGGACTGAAAAAAACTTACTGGGTGCACGTGAGTAGATCTGAAGGAGGACTTACTGATATGATTAATTTGAACTAGAGGGATCTCAGCTAGTGTAACTTGAATTGGGACTGCAAGAGGATAAAATGGTGTGGGTGTGTCGGGAGAGCGACTTGCTGGTTGGTATAGGAGTTAAACTTACCGGAGAAAAAAAAATAACTCACTACTCACTGCAGTGAGTGACAGAGAGCGCATTTTCTCGTCGACGAAAATGTGAAGTCACGGACGGGCAGACAGACGGACAGCCGGACAGACAGACGGACGGACAGACGGACGAACATGGCGAGCACAATAGTGCGTTTTTCCATAAATGAGAAAATGCGCTAAAAAGAACTGACTTTTTGAGTGCTGCTATAGAAGAACTTGCTGGTAAGGATATAGAACTTGAGAAAACTTACTGATGTGAGTGGGACTGGAGAGGAAGAGTGAGGTACAACACGCCCTCACAGAACCACAGCACCATGACCACGCAACTGACGAGCCTCATCTCCCTGTGCGCTACCAGCGACCACAACTTGGCACTCAGTGGCTCCGCTGGTTCATTTTCCTGCGACGGTTGAATAGAGTATGTACTGTACATACTATGAGAGAACTAATTATGCAAATATCACCCTAACGCTTCATAACTCTCAGTATAACGTAAATAAATAAGTAGGAGTTATACATGTTGAGTTAGTAAAGTGAGACGGTGGTCGAGGTCGGATGGGAGGTTGTCTTCTGTTCCGTGCAGTCGCGCGCCTCTGCGGATGACCGACGCTGCGGCAGCGACTTCACCGCGGTTCAGCAGCCAGCGCGGCGACTCGTCCATTATACTGCGCGCGGCGGGACAGAGGGTCGCGATAAATTGGATTGTAATGCTCATGGCCCTCAGTAATGCTGTGTGGTGGTACAGAGGGTCATGATAAATTTATTTGACGTGTGATTAATCTATGGGTGGTGTTAAAAACTTACTACCTTTTTAGGGGTGCAATTCAGCAAGTAATGCTGCGATCTGCATATCCCAGAATTTCTCTGAGCTGGCTTTCTCTTTAAATATTTATTATAATATATCCAAGATTTTATTAGTTTAAAAAACCCATGCTTACGTTCAGTAAACAAAATATAGAAGGAGATAATTTTAAGTTAACGTACAATGGACAGGAGAGCAGCAGCAGCACGAAGAGTGGCACGGAGCACAGCAGCTGTAGCAGTCTCCACTGCCTGCAGCCGTACGCAAGTACGGCCAACAGCGGCATGGACACTGCGTACGGAACGCTCTCCACGCTGCCGTACAACGTACGTAGCTTGGGTGGACACACCTCCATACCTGAGGACACTTTGTTTAGTTGTGTATCTGTTTAGTTGTATATGTCTGCTGGGTGCTCCTGAAATTAGGTATCCGGTTTACAAAAATAGGAATATTTAGTCTATTACTACCTTAATATTGCATCCGGTAAACTTGTAAATTATGATGATACACTAAGAAATAAATACTGCGTAATACGCAGTAGCTACACACATGTTACATATATTCGAAATTTTTCCATTTATTTTCGAAAATTCTCTTCATGTTATATTCGAACATTTTCCGTAGTAACACAATTATAATACGTTACAGTGCACTCGGAAATTGTTTATAACATTGGCAAGTAAGGGAATTTTATATTTAAAAGACTCTAATTGTGTGTCCAGTAAGCAAGGGATTTGTGCGTAATTGTGTGTCTAGTAAGCAAGGGATTTGTGCATTTAGTACCCACTTGAATTTTGTGTTTATTACACATTCAAAATGTTCGTTTCGTTTGCACGGAAATACTACTGACCTAATGTACTCGATAAATAGTTGTATGGGCATCACAAAGGAAACGGACAATAAACCAGCTAAAGACCAAAGTAAGCATTACCCATAGTGATGGCGGGGTTAAAGCAGCTTAAGACCAAAGTAAGCATTACCCATATATATATATATATATAGTGATGGCGGGGTTAAAGCAGTTTAAAACCAAAGTAAGCATTACCCATAGTGATGACGGGGTTAAAGCAGCTTAAAAGCTTAAGACCAAAGTAAGCATTACCCATAGTGATGGCGGGGTTAAAGCAGCTTAAGACCAAAGTAAGCATTACCCATAGTGATGGCGGGGTTAAGAACAAGATGCATGGACACCCCCAGCAGGAACCTGGCGGGCAGGAGCACCAGCAAGGACGGCGCCGAGGCCACCACCAGCGTGAAGGTGGTCATCAGGAGCGCCCCGTAGAACAGGGACCTTTGACGGCCCAGCCTGCGGGACAGGGACGCTGTGGCGTTGTATTGCTGGACATTGTGGCGCTAGTTTTCAAGCGGAGTTGGAAGATTGGTGTACATTATAACTAAAATTTCTGTGTAGTGCTAGGTTACTTAAAAATCGATGTGCTCTATAGACCCGGGTAAAATTCGAATGAAAATTTTACAAACTTAGATTTAGGTTTGCGATACTATGACGATCCAAATGTTTAAATAATTTTAATTAAGTGTCTGTTAATCTTACAAATCAGTGAAGACGCCGCCAGTGAGTGCACCTACAGTACACCCAAGTGTCAGCACCATCTGATGTAAGCTGCGGTACCAGCTGCGCTCACACACAAGCTCCAGCTGCAGGAACACAGATGTGTTAGCAGCTGATAATTATTAAAGCGTGGGTCTGGGTTAAAATACTTAACATTTATAGAAATGAGTGAGCCTTTGTTAAATAATGATACATTTTGTTTCTTATGAGAATCATACTGACCGAGGTTATACTATTTTTGAAGATATTTATTTAGAGAAAGAATGAATCAGAATTCATGAATACAATATAATTAAGTGACGAGTAAAAATTCCATAACTGTAGCGAATATTGTTTGTTCCGAAATCTATAAAGAAATTATGCCAATAAAACGACATTTAGTGAATAGGTCATTATACATTTTGTGAAAAGATCATGCAATATATGGTGTTAACAACGCATTACCTCAAAAACTTAGAACGTTTAAGGTACCTTTAATTAAAGGGATTCTCATTAATTTACTAAGATGGCAACTAACATGAACAATGAATGATAATTAACACTGAACAATTTCAGCATGAACATGCCGTTTTTAGCGCATTTTCTCATTTATGTAGAACATGCACTATTGTATTCGCCATGTCCGTCCGTCTGTCTGTCCGTCCGTGACTTTGCGTTTTCGTCGACGAGAAAATGCGCTCTCTGTCACTCACTGCAGTGAGTATTGAGTTACATTTTTTTTATTTATCGTTGGATTTTCGCCAGTGAGCGCGGTAAAAACAAATATATTTCAATACATACATAAATCATATTTATTATATAAGACGACGGCTCACGTCTGAAGTGACCGTCGTGGTGAAGACGGTGGTGTTAAACACGAAATGTTGACACTCAACGTCCTGTTGAACACCTTGCAATGTTGCGCGGTGCGCCTCGCATGCCAGACTGTCAATAAAGTGAGTCAACTGGTATAATTATTTTGTATAATAAAATATAATAAAAAAAGCCAACTGTTTTAATTATTCTGTAGAATAAAATATAATAAAATAAGTCAACTGTTGCAATGATTTGGTTATCAACATTTTATGGTGTCAACATAACTTTAATTGATGACACATTTTTTATGTTTATATCATTTGCTTCTTTTTATTATATCTTAGAATGCCCGTTAGTATTTAAACAAATATGTAAGAAGATATTGCTCTTCAGCTACCTTACAAATGTTATTATAATATAATTCATGTATGGTCACTTCCTATCACAAGTTTCCGTTCTTGATAAGCAATCCATTTTATAAAAAAAAACACAATTGACAATCATTGATCAGTTTAAGTATGTAACATGTTTGTCATTTTTATATTGAAAACAAAGATTTTCCCAATTTGACAATTTAATATTATTCACGATTTAACGATTAGCTTTTGCCTACAATTTGCCTCATAACCCAAAAAATTTACCGATCCCGTTTATTCAATACAAACTATTTACTGAACAAGCTAATTTACATTTTTATCGCATTTTGTTTTCATTCGGAAAAATAATTCTCCAAATTTTAATACGGAAAATTTTAAATTCCCCATTTTGATTTCGAACAAATGTCATAAAACAATTTTTCACTGTAGTAGAAACATTCATTTGATATTTGTGATATAGGGCACATACACGTACAAATAGGTGAAATAAATGGTAAAATTATAAATCTTTTCATGGAGTTAAAAATCGAGCAATTTTTGTTAGGTGTGCAGTTTATTTATTATCAGTGTTCTATCTCTCCTACCTTTACTTCTTTTGATTTACATTTAAATAAAATATTTTCATCTTAGACATATAGTAATTCTTCGTGAGACGATCGAATTTAAATTTATGATGTGTCATTCCGAATACAACGCAAAGCATTCTATTGCGCTTTGATTCTATAATCAATTCAATTTGTCGGCTGGCATTGCACCGTTTATCGACGACTATATTCTGATATTAATTAAATACATTCATATTCTTCATCGAAGATAATATTAATGTGAACTGTAATTGAAACATTAGAATATATCGACGTACATTGTTGATAATGATGTCGAATAATGTTTGGGTGTTATTTCAGTGCATTTGAATCAACTAGCAACGAAATTAGACATGGAGATGGCTATAGATTCTATTATCATCGTTAAATAAATTAAATTGGTTAACAGTGAAGTGACATTGATTAAGAACTTTCTCTTAAAGGCTTATTATATTTAAATCAAACTATCACCCTCTGTGATTTGATGTTTATTGAAGTAAATTTTCTTAAAGGCCTATTGAACTCTCATCAAACAATCCCTAACTGTCATGTTGTGATGGAACATATTTGCTACATTCAAATTTATGAAGGATTTCTGCCCGCGGGCCTACGATACGAAGAAGTAAAACGATATTAAATATAGAACATGGCAAAAACTATATTACATAATCTTTGGCTTGCTTAGACCACACAAAGCTGAAGATCATTTCGTGAGAAGGAAAACAAAGATGAACGTCATATATAGTATATGGTGGTTGAGTTTCCGATGATGCACAGACGTCAATGAAGTATATCGGATCCGTATTCATATACAAATAAAAAAAATTACAGGCCAGCTAATGAGCCAGCTAATGATGACATACATACATTATTAGCTGGCTGCTACATACATTCATTAGCTGGCTCATACAATGAGCCAGCTAATGATGATAGTATAAACTGTAGCAAGGCTACCAAGAAATAAATCTTACGTCCAAAGAAAATCACGTCGTTTTACTTCTTAACATGAGTCATGTTAGGTGAAGTGCGGTGGCTTTAAACTAAAATTGGCCAAAAGTTGGTCCACTAAACAATGTTAGGCTAGCGGAGTGTATTCTTTCCAAGACTTATTGAATTTACATCAAACAGTCACTAACTGTGATGAGTGATTGGTGAAGTAAGTTCTCTTAGTGACTTATTTAAGTTACATCAAACAATCACTAACTGTGATGAGTGTTTGGTGAAGTAAATTCTCTTAGTGACCTATCTAATTTACGTCAAACAATCACTAACTGTGATATGAGGTTGATGAAATAAATTCTCTTAGTGATCTATTTAATTAACATCAAACAATCACTTACTGTGATGTGAGGTTGGTGAAGGCAGTGGGTGCAGGAGAGGAGGCGCAGGAGTAGTGCAGTGGTGGTGCAGTGAACTCCGCGACCATTACGTTGCTCACCTCCAGCACCGCGGCTGTCATCATAAAATGACACAGAAACATGCATTATAATAATATATAATCATTGAACAAACTAATGCAAGCTACGGAAGCTTCAAAAGAGACAAGCCATACAAATAAAATATCTGAGAATTTAAAATTCATTCGAACATTTTTAGAAATTGTGTCTCAATGAAACATAACTATTCATCACTATCCGAAATAAAAAAGAACATTTCTAGTGAGGCATAATGTGGTTGGAAAACATAATTGCTCATCACTGTACGAAGTTATAAGCATAGAATTACAGTGCAGGGGCATATAAGGAAGTGAGAGTGGAGGGCTCAAGTGAACGAGTTCATAGTGTGCTCTCAATGCAAGGCACTAAAGTGACTCAATTTTACCCACTTCTTTTTCAGCAATGAATTGAACCGTTCATTTACAACTCTTAATGTATGTTAAGTATCCTCATGGGACATTGGCACCAGCAATGCCGTGTTGTTTACTCGTTAGGAAGATAATATTTTTTCATTCCATTAAAAGAGTTATGATGACCAAACAATGGTGAGAATTTCGAGGTAAATGCTTACAGCGATAAAGCAATCCATTCAATGCTAGAAAGACAGCGATCAATAAATACGCCATACTAGGAAGATATAAAATTCGCCTTAGACATGATGCAACCACAAAGATTCACCTAGAACAGAGACATAACATAGCATTAAGTGATATTAGCATATAGGAGTAGGCCGGAATAATTTCTCCGTTGCCGATTCTGACTATTCTCCTGACTTATTTCCTGGAGATCTGGGAACTGCATGGTCTTCAGACCAGGTCTATTCAAAAGCTAAGCTAAATAACTGCAAAACTTTCAATTATTTGTGAGATGGGAAGGCGCTTCTAATCGAAACATTTGCGCACCGAACACTCACCAAAGACAAAGCTGCCCCACGACTTCGTCTGAAAGACTAGGGCGCATCAATGATGACGTATCAAAGACTCACCCAAGACTAGGACACAAAAAAAAGGCTCATCTAACACTGTGACGCACCTAAGACTCACTTAGGACAAGGACGCACCAAAGACTCACATAAGACAGAGACGCAATAAAAACTAACATAGAACTAGGATGCACCAAAGACTCACTTAAGACTGAGATGCACCAAAGACTCACTTAGGACAAGGACGCACCAAAGACTTACCTAAGACTAGGACGCACCAAAGACTCACCTAAGACTGAGATGGTGAAGTATAGTACCGTCCACCTGCCAAAGCCTACAGACGCCAGTATATCGTCTAGCGCATCATCTTTCGGCTCCATGTTTTACTCTTTGCCTCTCCTTTTCTGTATTCTTCGTTCACTGTATTTTGCTCTAATTCACTGTCATGTTACGCATTGCCATTTAAATTTTACCTCTCACTCTAAAATCTGGCATTCAAAACAAAAATTAATTTATTAGAAAATTCCAGAAATCATCACAATATTATTTTGGCGTTACTTTTGAATGGAAAAATAATTGGCATGACCAGAATAAAAGCACTATACGACATTTCCGCCCACCGCGGACACAAGTTTATTAGTGGCAGTATTCTACGAAAGCCCTTCCATCAATGGAATATGTACATTAATATGTGAACAAGTGATATCGTATCTCTTGGCATTTATGAGGTTATAAATTAATTTATCATGACATTAAAATCTCGAGCGTGAACTATTTGCTCGAGTTAAATGGAGAGATCATCCTGATACGTTCTGAGTGAACAAGATTACAGAAGACGATTCCTAGTTGGCTGAATATCGATTATTCTGCTCATGAATTTTTTGCATTAGCAAAATTTCTTAGAATTGCCAATTTAACAAAAAAAATTTGAACAAACTATTGAATAGTGGGAGATAATGAAACATGAGTTTTTAACATCTTCGAAAATAATTGTATTCGTTTTGCACAAGAGATTAAACTATATTGAGATAATATATTGTTATATTTTCCCACTTTTAATTCTGTTTTTTTTTAGTTTTATGCTCTTCGTAACACTAGACATGCGCAGATGTAAGTTAAATGTGTACTTGTATCTGGACAGGAAAATATTTATAAATTTGCCCACGCTAACGACGTTCGCCACACTTGCACACACCTCCGTGTACAGAGTTACACTGAACCTGTGAACAGCTTTAGCTGTCACTCTCATTCTTGGCATCGGAATCGAGCGCATCAATGAAACTTCTGAACATGCTATGGGTGTAAAGACAACATTCACATTCATTTCATTGAGTGTCTAGATGACAGCTGCAGTATCGTGGGCATGTTTTCATTCGACATATTCACATTCGTTTTCATTCAACACCTTATCAGAAACTGCCACGTTAGCACGTGCATCCACATTAGCAAGTGTAGCGACATTAGCTGCAACTGCAACGTAAGCACTTGTAGCCACACTAGCCACGACCGCCACATTGTCAAGTGCAGCCACACTAGCCGCGACCGCCACATTGTCAAGTGCAGCCACACTAGCCACGACCGCCACATTGTCAAGTGCAGCCACACTTGCCGCGACCGCCACATTGTCAAGTGCAGCCACACTAGCCACGACTGCCACGTTTTTCAGGGCACTCACTTGAGCGTGGCTAGCCCATCATGAGGTTACAGCACAAAAGCGCTCGCTGGAATCTAATGTTAGATGTTGTAAGCTATGCAAAGAAGAGCATGCACTTCACACTTGTAATACCAACACTAATTTTTCTGATTTCTGAACGAACAATGATTGAACAAACTTTTCTTAATAATGATTTGTTGCTCTTCATCTATGCGACATTTTCCTTTAGGGGAAATTCAACCATCCTATTTATCGCCCTAACAGTCCGGCACCTAACGCAGCGATCATGCAAGACAGTTTCTTGACGCTGCACGGGACAGTTGTGAGAAACTACCTCTTGCGAAACAGAAACTTGCGACGCTTATCTTCGCCTTATCTTCTTCACGACGCTAAAGTTGGTGATATGCGACGCCCAGTTCGCTAGACTGCCGGCATTGACTGAGATTTGATTCCCCTGCCTCTGATTCAAGTTCGGGTGGAACTTAAATTTGGGGGTTTTAACTTCGAGCGAGAATTTTTGAAACGTATTTCATACGAATTTTTTTTTTTTTTGAAAGGCCTCCCACACTCACCATTCCAACAAAAAAAAAAGGAATTGATTTTATTAATTAAAAACAGGGAATGGTTTCATGTCAATGATCAGGGCCCCGACCTTAACGCCTCTGATGGTGGCCTACAC